GTGGATGGCCATACGTAATGATATATTTCCGAACCACTTCAATCGACAAGAATTCACAACCTTAACATTCAGTTTGTATATTACCTTGTACTCTTCTTCTAAATTCAGAACTACTAACTCAACGGGCGCAAAATATATAAGCAATCGTTTGAAGATCAATGTTTTTGCACTTTACTCAATTGTACTTTTAACTATAGCTCCCAGTTGAAACTATCTTCTAAATACTTGTCCAGAAATATTTAACTCTTACAGTCTGAAACCAATCAAAATTGTTCCAGTTTGTTATTAGCCTTATTTTGATTTCTTTACTTTCAACATGTCTTCAGGTTATAATGATGATGAATTAAGCTTTAGATTACAGTTTATTGATCTAAAAATAAGTATTTTGTATTAGTAATTTTGGCTACCATCTCCATATGTGATTGTTTTTTGGTTTAAAAAATTACCAATTCAAACAGCGAAATCAATAGGCATCAAAGTTTACTAATAATTTTTAGTAAGGAACAATCATTTTACTCGTTAGGATTGTTAAAACTAACAGTTGTGAAGTTTTATCTTTGTATTAGATTCGTAATAAATAGGAATCGATCTGTTTCATTTTATAAATATCTCATTCTATTTATGGTTAAGGAAATAATTTAGGAAAGTATTGTTCTCATGGATTGCCATCAATAGACAGACAGTCGGTAGTAAATAATAGACGTCTGAATGGGTGTCTTTTTTCTCAACTCAACAAAAATAAGTATCGTATATTTTATCTTCCATAAAGATCATATTTTTGCTGAGCTACTCTGAGGTGGAAATGAGTTACTAGCGTTCATTAGTTCTTCGCCATCGTTTGTAGGGATAAAGAAATATTAATTTTGCTTCTCAATGAGATTTTGTCCTACAAGTCCATAGGTTAATTAAAAAAATTCAGGGAGTATAGTTTTTTTTCTATAAATTAGTCATGAATCATTACTACATTTAAAAAATCCATTTTCTGGATTCTGATGTTCGATTAGTTTGAGGTTGAGAGATCTTGGATATTTTATTTGATTTCGATTGCTCACAATTAATTTTTAAACAAAACGACTTGAAAATTCGAAATGGATAAAAAATCTAGTGTGTGTGATGAAGAGATTCTTCAGTGAGAATCCCTATATTGATACGTTAATTTAAAGTAAGTTCTTATCATTTACTGGCATTAGCTTTCTAACCGTTGGTGATCGGGGGCTCTTGAAAACAGTTTCTTCCTTGTTTTTGGAACTCACGACCAGTGTGTGCGTCGACGATGACCTCATAGGCAATTGAACTGTCAAATGCTCAGTCAGTAGCATCGTGCTTAGAGAGGGACTTAAAGTCGCTGATTCGATCTTTTCAGGGATTGGGAGTTTGCAGTACCAAGAAGTCTAAAATCTAGATGAAACAACTATCAAATACTACTTGGTTTTCATTGGTTTTTCACCTGTTACCGATTCGCGATATTCACAATCTTCATAATTCACTAAAACTACTCGTCCAAATAACTTCACAATCTACTTAATTACGATTTGATGTATTATGGTTAGTGTTTTAATCCGTGAATCGGAACAGTTTGTGTACTAAACGCTCAATCATAGATAATAAATTCAGGCCACCATTCAGTTCAATGATGAATGACAATCTAATAGAGTAAACTAAAAAGGAGCAACTTAATGCAATTGAAACAATGAATTTTCCTATAGTTTAAATTAATTATTTTCCTTATTTTTCCCATATTATTCTAATTCATTTACTTGAATAACTGACTGGCTTCTTTAATAGTATCCTATTAATTTATAAAGTTGAGACATTTATTCACCCGTTTTCCTTTCGATCAAGATGTCTTTTCTCACTAGTATTTTCGTTTATGATATGATTAGTTATTGTAGGTTGCCGTATACAAGTTGTTGTTTACCGTCAAATTGGCGAGACTGTAATTTATGGACGAACCAATCAGATATAAGATAACGAGCCTTGTATTTCGGTGCGAAATTCATTCATCCAGTTGGCTAAATAGCGTTTTGGCATTATAGCTAATGTCAGTTCGTGATGAAAACTTTAAATCTAATTCTTAACCCTAACCATCAACTGTAAATTATAATTCTAATTCCACACACTGGTTTATAACACTCATTTAGTCGTGGTTAGTAGGCGAACATTCTCTTGATCATTTTAGCGTCGCCCAAATGTCGTCCATATATTATAGTCTCACCATCAAATTTACAAATTTACACGTTAATATCTGTTGAATTATCATAGTTTTTAAAACCAGTTTTGCCAATTTCAGAAGTAACTCGAAATAAACCTAAAATACTTTTTTAATAATGAACTGTTCAATACAGGATTTACCATCTACATTGTTACTTTTCAATCACTGATTATCAGTGTCTAAAAAGTATTTTTATTCCAATCAACTAAACGGATCTAGACCATTACTTCTTCCAGTCGTGACTTCAAAGTACTTACGTGGTTCAACCAAGAAATATGTGTGACCTCATTGATAGAAACTGAAAAATTTCGCCTATGAATAATTGTTCATGAATTTTAAAAATAAAATAAATCCCTTAGAATAGTACAGTGGTGATATCTCTGGTTTTTATACTGAATGATTTGGGTTTGAATCTCGTTAGGTGATGAATTAGTAGCCTCAAGAATTTAAATACACTTAACTGATGAGTACTAACTAACATGTGACCAACGAAGGCTAGCATAGTTTCCTAATGATCGCTCCTATTCATCGTGTATCACAACGACTATCAAAAAATTGTAAAATGATCTGGATAGTTGTTCAGACACAATAATTGTTAGGAAAATTACTTACATATGATCCAATTTTATTACTTAGTGATATCAAATTATGAATTGAACATCATTATGAACTTTGAAAGTTTATTGAAATAAGTTCTCAAAAGACTAGTCATCTAGATAAGTTGGTTTATCCATATCCTTTGGATCAGATACTAAAACAAAGACTATTTTTTGTGTGTAAATGTTAGTTAAGTTGTACTATATGTTGGATAGGTGTACTTGTTGTATTCTCGTTCGTTGTTTAACATATCCTAAATGAAATAATCGTCATAGTTCTGTGCTAAGTTTGTTTTTTTGTACATCGAAATTGCAAACAATAGATATATGATAATTAACCGACCACTTTGTTTACGAGCAAATGACTGATTATCATGTCTTGACCACGTGAACATTCTTCATCGCTAGGGCTATCGATTTTGTAAACAATGCATTGTCACGTGTTTCAAGGTTGAATTAATGCTCTCCTAGTGTGTCGTTGTTCGAAATCAATGCAACCACAACGATAAACCTAGTTACATTTTGTTTATTTCCTAAACTTAATAAAGCCCTGATTGTTGTAGTTAACAGACATACAGCTTAGATAAGCATCCTTATAGTGTTTTTCTTACATTGGAAAATCATGTGTACGCTAGTGGTCTTTTGGATTAAGAAGGTTTACGCGTTTGTCATACGCGCTATGTGTAACACGCTGCGCTTTAAAAAGAAATAAAAAATAATCATTTGTTCAGATTATTAAATATTTAACATGGCGTTTTGTACGATTTTCCCTCTTCTTTTAAAAAAAAGTCTCGACAAAACAAAACCGATAAATGTAGTATAATAATGTAAATTCCTTTGTGTTATGACTTCTCTTTCAAGATGCTTCCCATTTTAGAATAAGTGCACTAATTATGTAACAATACAGATTTATGCAATTTTTGTTACGTTTACAGAAAATTATTGATTAGAGCTGGAGATAGATTAAACAAAGCAATATGAGTGAAGAGAAGTTTTAGGAATATTCAAAAATAGTTGAATTCATGCGTCGATCTAAGCTAGACCACAATCGAAAACATGAAAGCACTGGAACGCCGTTTCGTCTCCTCGGAAGTGTGCATTCACGGCCTCGCACACTGGACTCGAGTACAGGTTCTTCGGTTTCGCACGAGACCAGAGACCCTGGACTTAAGTCCAGCTTGTGGGGCCCTGGATGTGCACCATTGAGTCCGATACTAGGACGAAACGGCCTTCCAGTGCTTCCAAGTTTTCAGTGGTGGTCTAGTTTAAATTGACTCATGAATTCAATTATTTTTTCTACAAATCTTCATCCAAAATGTTGATTAGTCGTCAGATAAGTATATGAATTGAGGGCTGTATTAAAACAAGTTGGTTCTAGATATAGTAAACTAATATCATCAGCTATAACATTCTAATTACAATAGTTTAATTCATAGGGTAAGATGAGTAAAACGTCTATAAGGAATAGGCAACATTCTTAATTGATGATATGATTAAATATGTTGCTAGGTAAATAAATGTTGTAAAGTATAATCCCCTGAGGAATACAAAACTGACCCGCATGTTTTATGTTTATTTCAACGTAATTTAAGTTCAAGAGCAAAGACTTACTTCTCACAATATGAACATTACGTAAGGTTCCCCATCGGTAACCGACATTTCAAGTGATATTTCATTTCCAGAATTAAGAATCTGTCAACCTTACATGTATCATCCCTCTGTCTCATGCATTTTCGGTGTTCATAATAAGATTTCATGAAACCGGGAACAATGTAACAAACGCAGTTTTTCATGCAAAGATTGTACATGACTCATTTCAAGCAATTTGCACATGTGTTCTTAAATTCTACTCCCACGTCGATAAGACCATTAGTTCGTTAGAAAAGAGTCGTTTCACAGACTAGATAATCATATAGCATTAATTCATCACATATATCCTGGAACAGGGAAATTCACTGTATTCTTTCCGTTCTTTTATTTAAATTGTATATTATACAAGTCATTGTTAATACATTTCCCTAGTATATAATAATATTTTTTCATAGGGACATTTTTTCATTATCTGTTCATATAATCATTATGAAATGTTCACCTTGTCATTTCATTGTAGTTGTGTTATCTATGATTATTTCCCATGAGATTAAGGATTTCTATCATTTTCGATTATTTCTTATCAATATTATTTTTTCCAGCTTGTAGTCGACAGTTCACTTACTGATGAATTGGAGTCAGAAAAACAATTATTTCTTGTGAGTTCTCTCCTTATGATTTATTCATTTCATTGGATTATTTTAATCATTGATTCATTGATAAACTTATACTAACTTCTACTTCCGTGTGGGGAAATATATTTTCAACTATAATTTGATAAGGTATCCTAAGATTTATTTGTGATTTTTTTTGTCTTATTGTAATGAATTGACTATTCACTAAGTAATAACCAATCTCATGAATGCTTATTACGGTCAACTGAATCCAGCTCAGTGGTAAAGATGTTAAGCGTTTGCGAATGAGACTGAAAGTCCTAGGTTCAACCACTGGTGTCGAGGTAGTGAATGTCTGCTGCTGAGTAGAACAGAACATCTGTCCAGTGTTTACTGGTTTTCAGTGGTTGTTTAACTTGGATCAACTCGTGATCTCAGTAACATTCAACAATCTCTGTAACCCTCCATACTGATCATGAATGCGATCTACAGGTTTACTTGACTTGACATTGATCACTATTCAGTCATCAAATAATCAATCCTTCAGAAAATCACTTACTGTTAAAATGATTAGACAGTAAAGATGGTCACGACGTTGATTAAGACAGTTTCAAATATCACTATGTCTACCAGTCCTTTTAAAATTACAGATACACCATCTCAATGGATCTGAACTTGTACTAGACCTTCAACTATCTAAGTTGTGTTTCAATAGATGGTAGATCAATAAACTAATTACTGAAGTATCAATTATGAAATTTTTAGCAAAAAACAAAATCCATCTTATTAATGTTTAGCACATTCTGAGTATACAATAGACTCTTCATAAATACTTTTTTATTACGTAAATATCTACAAGATTATTGAGTTGTATCATTAAACAATGAAACATTCTTAAATATTCATATGAGAATTTGTACAACTTCTTATCATTCAAAGTAAGTTTCGATTAGTTTAACAAATAACACCAAAAGGCTAACACAAACTAAACATTTTTCAACTATCTACCAGACATTAAAATTAATTCATCAGATACGATCAGAATCCGACTCCTGTTTAACTACATGAAAGATGGTCGTAAGAATTTCTGAAGTGAGACTGTACTGCCGAGAGAAATGGACTGATCGGGTTTTTTTTTACCTTGGTCTATCTCTGGTTCAAAAATTCATTACGTATTCCTCTATTACAAGGTTACTCAATACTCATGCTTTACACATATGTTGTTCCTCTCCATATCTCTCCAAATTGAATTTGATTTAATTACTTTCATTCTGATACGTTTAGAAACGTTTATTTAACACATATTTGCATTTTCCCTATCACTTCAAGTGCCACTTAATCGCTCAGCAAATAGTTGTTTTTTTGTGGGAATTAATTCAAATTGTTACCTCTACTTCCAAATGAAGTGATTAACTTCGAGATAAATCTCAGAAGTTTTCAACAATAAGTCGTAACCAATGGAGCTTATCTATGTCAAAAGTCAGTCGGTCAGTCATTTTTAATGATGTTAGATGATTATTGTACTATATCGCTGAAAGATTGAAATTGGGAATATGAACTATTAAATTTCAATACAATAGGTTTAATATAAATTGCTTTCAATGGGATCTAAGGGTCTTGTATTCTACCTCGTATGTGAGTTGGGAGTACACACTTCCAAAAACGTTTTACCTACATTAAAAAAACTATCCAGTGTTGAGTAACTATTGAAATATAGGGGAATTTGAGTAATTTTTTCGTCCCTGTCTAAACTTCTCTGAAGTGTGGACCTACAACCATTTATGAGATGGTATCTAGCAACTCCAAGCCACACTGTGAGCGTGTTATTCTCGAACTACTGAGTTGAGGCCTACTGGTTCGTATTTCCAACCTCAATCAATTCAAGGTATGGTCATCCAATCCCAATGGTGATGACTTTTCACTTCTGATATAGATCAGTTCCATTGGTCACCATTATTCAATTGAACCTGGACAATTTGTCTTAAAATAAGTCACTAGTAAACACAACTTTAGTTTTACTTAAAAGACTTCTTGGAACCTATTTTAATCCACAATTAAATTTGAAATGGCTTAAGTTATCCCATTTTTGATATTTTTGACCGAAATTTGATCAGTCTTGGTTGGCTTATGAGGATCCTTTCCAGATTGTCTCCGTATAGCAATTATGACATAAGTTGATATATAATTGGTGTAATATGACTTGTTGTGGAATAAAGGATGCGCATTTCGTCCTATTTAAAATTTGTCATCTGGATGTACCGGCATCATAGTGTTGATATTTGCTCCAGGACTCGAACTTGGTACCATTTGCCTCGAAATCCATTGCGTTATCTACTCGGCTACTGAGTTTAGATAGCTAATCATTTGTGTGGTTTCGTCGTGGGCTAACATCATTTAAGGCGTTAACGGAAAACATAAGATCCTGGACAAACGTGAAGGCAACCAACCTACTTAGAAAGAAAATTCTACACCTGCTTGTCTACATATTTTAGATAATAAACATCTGATTTTCATTTTTTCTTTCTATCGGTACTTGTGGTTACCTTTTTGTGTTACCTATATGTTATTTTCACATTCAATCATTGATCAGTGGACAACAACAATGGTGAATATTACTTTTTTAATAGGTTAGATCACTTTGTGTTAAAATACGACTTCTTTGATAGATAGAATAATTTATTGTCCCAAATAGTTACACTTTATCATTGATACTTGAAATAGCAATCTTTGTAAGCTAGTCCAGTATGTTATGAGTCATACATTAGTATCGGACTAACCGAATAACGATTATAGATGAGTATGCTACTAAATATTTGATGGTTGCTGAATAAATTTTACCCAGTTTATAGTGATTTAGAGCATCGGTAATCGGTATTTAGTTTCATTATTAAAATACTACCGAGAGCCAATGAAGATTTCTAGGTGAATTACGGTTGGTTCGAACGCAAATTGAAGTTAATCAGTGTTGTAATCATAATAAGAGTTGAGTTGTTCAGTCTTCATAATTTCCATTCAACTAATTTTGAGAGCAAACAATAGAATCAATGACTTTGTACAGATAAAACTAACTTTATCATTTTAATTTTCTAAGGTCCGTAGTTTCGATTCTTGAAAAATAATTTTGAGCGAAATACTTTCCGAAAAAATCCCAAGCTAAAATAAAACAACTGGTATGTGCTACTGATATCAGGAGATATAAGTAGTATGTATCACCAATCGAAAGTGGAATGCCTGGCGGTAGTAGGTTGAGGAAATTGAAGAGAAGAGAACGAGAACAGAGAGTGATTGGTGTGGAAACGAAAGAACAATAAAGTCTGAGAAGACTGACTGATATTTTACACATGAATTGTTTACTGTATGGATCTCAGATTTTACCAAGAGATTCTTTGATTTTGTATTCCAATACATTTGGTTGTCCCAGCCTATGTTATTGTTCACGACACAACCATTCAATATTTACTTAATTTACGATAGAAGTTTGAGTATCATCAACTTACCAAATCGATTCTACAATTCATATTTGGCATAGAGTTTGTAATGAGCTCTTGACTATTTTAGAACACTTCTTACTATTAATATAATATTATGTTTGTCTTTTATTATTATTGTTTTTTACAAAGTAACTGTTTAGGAATCAATTTATTCAGCTCAATGTTCTCATTAAACTCATTCTTAATTATATTTTGTTTAAATTGGTTTATATCAGACCACCTAATGTACTGAAATATACATATATATATTTGATACAAATATTTCAATAACTTAGATCATGTATTCATTCTATTCATATGTTTAATGTTTTAAGATGTACAGTATTAAATTGATTTGAATATTGGATTTTAATAGAGTAGTATTGCTCTATCTAAAACTTCAGTACTATTGAAGTATAAATAAATGATTATAAATTTCAACAAACAAAACATACACACATACGATACAATGAAGTTGACGAGTTTCGAAATAGAATATCACTTTATCCACCTGGGGTTTATTCACTTTTTTCCTAGTTTGAGATAAGAATTTCGCTAATCATGAGGATAAGAATAAGTAAGAGTTAGTCAGTCAGCTACAACATAGGACCAGGCACATATATGCATCGGTCCAAGTTACCACACCTCATTAGCATAACAAGATGAACATCAAATTCATACAAATAGTTACTTCAATGGTAGTCAAAAAAGGTTGAATTTAAGGATATAATACAAAGGAAAAGAAATAGTTAGTAGAAAGAAAGGTATAAAGCAATATTAAACTCACGGTCTAACGGAAGATAAAGAGTGTATACACCGACACCATTGTGATCGATTCCGAATCATGTCACCCACAGTCTCCAACCATTAGTTATGATAGTCACACGGATCCATACCAAGTAGTCTGAATCTATCAACATGACTCACACCAGAAGTTAGTGACTTCAAGAACTGATGACACGTTACGGTTTTGCCACCCCTAACTTTCTTCTATTCGTCTCCAACACTAGTCAGCATTGCACGTCGTAGTAATCGGTGTTCAGGCATACTCAACACGTGGCCCAATAATCTCAGTTGGTGAAGATTCACAATCTCATCAACTGGTTTACCATCACTTCCTAATACCCTGTGTCTAATCTCACCATTACTTACCCGGTGATCCCAGCAGATGTTGGCAATATTTCTCAGAGATCTGTGGTCAAATACTAGTAGCTTACGAGTATCTTCTACGCTTAATAACCACGTTTCGCAACCGTAAAGTAGAACAGAACGAACTGCCAAATTGTATACTCGTCCTTTAATTGATAGACAGATATCTCGCCTTCGCCGTAGTTGGTAAGAGACAAACGAGCTTTTTGAATCTGTGTTGAGATTGAGTCCGACACCAACCCATTAGGGCTGATCATAGTCTCAAGATAAGTGAAGTTGTCGATGCGTACGAGTGCTTCACTCCCTATCTTTAGTTCAGGTGTTAACGCAGGCTAGTCGTGAATCAACAAATTGCATCCAACAATTCTCAACACAAACTTTATCATAATGACGTCGTTCGATCAAATAATCACGGTTATTTTGCCTTTTTAGTAATTCTTTTCATTCCCTTTGTTTTTAGTCAATTCAATGTAACTCGAATGAATTGTTTGAAAAAATTCTTCAATCGTTAGAACAACTTCCCCTTCCTCTGGTTGGTTTATGGAAACAAAGGAAAAAGGTATGATTTATGTTTAATGTGAAACTGTTTGTTTTTATTTGGTCTTAATTTTAAATTCAATGAAATTCAGCTATCTCCACGACCCCATACTCAAAGTTATAATGTGCACAGTAGTGGACTAATTTTGAGAGGAATTTCCGGAGTTCTAGTGGGAAGCCATGAACAGTGGAGCTAATCCATGTCGAATGTGATTCAGTTACCTACTAAAGACAACAGATGGTAGTCGCCTAATATCGTGGATTGATTGAGGTCAGAAATTAGCACAGTTGGGTACCGATTCGATGGTTTAGGGTTTAAGCGTTGGGACGCGAGACCGAAGGTCTTGAATTTGATTCCCGGTAACGGGAATGCTGGTGTGCACTTTTGAGAAGTTTCGTACTATGACGAGATGGCTGTTCAATGCTTCCAAGTTTTCAGTGGTAGTCTCACTTATATCGGCTCATGATTTCCATACAATCCTAGAGGTTAAAGGTTTTTTGTTTTAAAGTTGCCATCTAATATGTGTTTACATGTGTTATGTAGTTTAGTGTTCCTTTGTTTTTAGAGTTTATTAATATCCACCAGCCGTTCATTTATTGTTACTTTTATTGTCATAGAATTGTCTTAATTAAGTAGTGTATTAACAGAAATCTTATTGATATAGTGAGATACCGTTAAGCTACATCAATCCACGTAACTACTTTATTATTGGTGAAGAATATTTTGTCCTAGTGACACTAATCATTCAGATTAACTGTTCAACCATTTAGTGATTTAAGAGATTTAGTGTTCATATAACTTTGATTAAGATATGACGAATATTTTTATTTAACTGATTTCTCAGTCTGATCTGGAATGAATATGTATCAATCCAAATGACCACACCTCTAATAAATCATAATTATTCTTCACATCTTCACCTGTAAGGTAATGTGGCTCAATAGAATGGTCGATTACTTCATGATCTGACAACACGTCATAAGCTGGCCTTCTCCCAACGTACTCTTACACAAATAGCCTTCAGGTTAAATGGTGGCATTCGGTTCCGTAAAGCACATGTCAACTACCTGAACCGATTATATTTTATAAACTGATTGAAATACTTATTATTCTTATCGTAAATCCTACTCCTACATTCTTTTATAAATCCATAAATAATAGATCGTGAGCCAACTTGAACACCACCGCCCAATCTGTAACCTCATACCATTCAAACATTAAAATCACAGTAACCCTACAATACAGGAATAAATAATTTTGATCTCAGTTGACTGTTTATAATCGTTCTGTGATTTTCTGAAATTTATACATCGTTTTATACATAAAAATGTAGTCATAATTAGACGGTAATTAAAAATTTTCATAATTTGTGCCAAATACGTAAACACAGACAAACAAAAACTAGCTATGGATACCCCCCACACATACACGCACGTAAACATGCATAGAAAGTGTGCTCGTTAGTTAATAAACAATAAAAGAAAATCATCACAAATTTATTATGTTATTGTTTTAATGAACAAAATATGTTAGTAAATCTATATTTGCAGGTTATTTGAGTAGTTATATAATCAACTCATAAACACACGTATATATATATATATAGATAGAGAGAGAGGGGGAGAGAGAGAAGTAACAATATCATACACTTGAGTGATGTTTGTTTTTCTAAAAGGGTAACTTTATTAATAGTAATTTTTTATGAAAAATAGAAAGGATTTGTGCATATGTGTGAGGGGGGGGAAGAGGCAGGATATATATATATATATATATTTTCCGCATTCTTCTGTGTAGAGATTATTTGTGGTTGTCAACACGGTTAATATCAATACCTGTAAATAATGGTGATTTTTTAATAGTTCGAATAACTTTTTATGGTGTACTTAATCGTTACGGTTATTATTGTTATTATTAGACATTATAATCATATGGTAATTACACAATGTTTAAAATTATCTACTTGCTAAGCATGATGATTTCAGTCTATTTGGCACAGTATTCGATTGTTAATAATTATTTTTTTTCAATGAGTCAGTAATCTAGTTTCAATTAAATAATGATACCTAATTGTTATGTGATAATGAGGTGCACAAAGCATGAAAATGTTGATAAGTGAGAGTTGCAGTGTGTATTTGTGTGTATACTTTGACATTACAATGTGTTGTATTTCATGTCAACAGCCTTAAAGTAATCAACGAGTACGAATTATCGTGATTTTTAACACTCAAAATTAATATTTATTTATATGCTAAAAGGGAAACTGGAAAGCGTTTGATGTTTCAACCACCAAACAAAAGTGTTATCATCATATGACTAAGTATCTAATGTTACACCTCGCTAAAATAGGATTATTTTGAGCTTAAAGTATTGACTCTGTTTAAATAGCTAACAAATCATCATGCACTGTGATTTGAATCACTTAGACTAGAAATTGTCTTGATTAGTTCGATCATCAGTGTTGAGTCAAAATTAATTATTTACTTACTTATGCCGCCCACCAGGATTCTCCATCCAACTCTGTCCTGTGCAATCCTTTCCAGTTGCTGTTTATCCTTTTTGATATCTTCTTCGAATTATCGGCACAATGTGTTCCTTGGTCCTCCACTTTTCTTTCTCCCTTCAGAATTCCAAGTTAGCGCTTGCTTCGTGATGCACGCTTATGATTTCCTCAATATATGTTCGACCCACTCCCAACGTCTTTTCCTAATTTCCTCTTCAACTGGAAGTTGGTTCGTTCCCTTTCACAGTAGGTTGTTGCTGATGGTACCCGACCAATAGACATTGAATATCTTGCGTAGGCAATCGTTTATAAAAACTTGTACTTTTTCGATGATGGTTGTGGTATTTCTCCAAGTTTCAGCTCCGTACAATAGAACTGTCTTGACAATCGTATTGAGGATTATGACTTTGATATTTCATGCAATTGGTTCCCTTTATGAATTTAAATAAAGCAAGAACAAATATTGGTGCAGAATAGTATGAATCCATACTATTCTGCATCAATATTTGTTCTTGCTTTATTTAGACTTTGATATTGGTTGACAGTTGTTTTTAGTTCCATATGTTCTTCTACTGTAGGAATGCTGCCCTTGCTTTGCCAATCGTTACCTTGTAGAATTATGGTCTAGTATGATATTAGTACTGCTCTAATAATAGACCTAATCCTAAATTTGTAGATTTGTCATGATATAACTGCCTAATCTATAAGATCTTACGTGGAAGTCACACCATGGACTACACCAACTCACTGTATCATATCAGTTACCAATACATGATGTAGAACAAGGTTAGGCTAGAGGAAGAACAATATATTTAATATGAATAGAAGATATAAGGTAACATTCAGCAGAGACCACGCCTGCATGGCCGAGCCATGCCACTCGATCAACTCCAGTTCATTCAATTCATTGTTCGCGCCTTCTCCATTGTTAGGTATTTCTCCGCGTTAAATATTGAATATCTATTTTCTGAGTAGTCTCGTGTTCACAGCTTTGTGGATTGTGTGGCTATTGTCCAATGCCACTACAACCTTTAGGTCTGCATCAGATACTTGTTGTTCATCAATGATCCTACCCAGGTACATGAAATTTTCCAGAGTTTCTCCATCAAGTATGACTGGGCTGGTGTTCTCTGTGTTGTATTTTATCATGCCTTTTCCCTTGTGCATGTTGAGTAAAAATTGCATGACATTAAACATTATGAGACGAAATCTACTCATTTCTATGTTTGGGATCACATAGAGATATATAATTATTCATTGTACATTGTGAAATATAAAAGAAGGAAATGTAACAGATTCTCTTTCATCATTAGTCGTTCTAACTACTTAACGGTTTTCATCATAATAGCAAGAGTTCTGTTGTGTCGTATATACAGGAGTAACAACATAAAGTCTGAGTTTTCTCCTTGAACTTCAACGTGAATCATACAGTTCCCAGATTTCATCATGTCCTACTTATATTTGGCCCTTACATTAAGCCTGTCATATTCAAATAAACATTTTCTTGATAGAATAGGGGATATCTTTAAAAAATAGACTACGTGAATTCATTTCTAAGAACTTTTTAAAATCTTCCCATTGGTGTTAAGGCTGCAGTTGATCAGTTGCTGACAAATGAATTGGTTATCCACCTAGTTTTGTCTATAGTAACTTAACACCTAGACAACATCTGGAAAAAAGCACTAACAGTACGAAAGAAAACTCATTCTATGAATATCGAATTTAAAGGCGATACGGCTGCTGAAATCTTGAATAAACGGTTTTCAAAATCGCTGAATAAAACGCTTTACTCAGCTAAGTTTCGAATTGTTTCTCAAGCCGACATACTATTCATGGATGTGTTAACGATAAACTTCCGCTTTCGGCTACATCTACAAATTTACTTTCTCATGTGGCGTAGGTTACATTGACCGCACAAAGCGATCACTTTCCAAACGCATCTCAGAACACCACCCAGCGTGGCTTTCAAAAAGGGGAATGCAAAACAATTACTAATTCAATACAGGAGCATTTAATCAAGTATGGACACATCGCTCTAAAAGAGTCTTCTTTCAAAATAATCTACACAATCAAAGGAATTGGATCAAAGAGAGGTCAAATCAGATATTATGCGCTGCTGAAGCATTAGCAAGTCACCAACTCAAGCTCGAACTCTGCGTGCAAAAATGATACGTATAACCTCTTACCCTTCATTGAACCTAATTCCTTTCTTAATCATTTCTTTGATTTTTTTTAAAATTATTGTTTTGTCTGTTTGACTGTAATCAGTTACTATTACCCTTACACAAGTTTCCATTATTATCATTATTGTTCATTTTTTATTGTTATGACTTTTATGTCTTTCGTTTTTCTTCATATTTATGAAGTGGACAATTATCTTTCATAATTCAGGCCCGTAAATTATTCCCATCCAGATATGTTCTTCTCTTACCCCTTGATTATTGCGTAAATTCATTTGATAATAAGAGTCTCGAATGAATTTATGATATAATTTTTTCTATCGTTCTATAGACATATATTCACCATATAACTATAAATACGAATGTACAACTTTACAACCTAAGTAAATGATTTCATCGAAAGGAAAATTTCCCTCGCTGAATCCCCTTTGTTTTTATTGGTGAAACTACTAAAATGAGAGGATTGTTAGATTAATCCATTTTGAAGTCTGTTTTTATCAAAGACACTGACATCTAGTTAAGAATAGAATAGTGACATTGGTTAACAGTCATTCTGCGTGGCGAATTGGTTTTAGTTGAAAATATAAACTCATTCCAACTTATTATTTTGAACATATTCTACTAACCTTGATCTCTGTAGCCCCTGGGTCCTAACTTATATGAGATCTTGATTGCTTAACCATAAGGAATCTCGTACTAGTATGAAACAATTGTCCAAAATAGGATAACATTAATAATATATAATTTAACATTTAGTGAAATTTCTACTGACTATTTTACAAGTGTTCCTTCTTTCCTTTGCATTAATTTATTCCACAGATTGAAATCATGAGTTAATTGAAGCTAGACCACCATAGAAATCCTGGAAGCACTGGACGGCCGTTTCGTCATAGTATGGGACTCCTCAGGACGAAACGGCCATCCAGTGCTTCCAGGATTTTTATGGTGGTCTAGCTTCAATTAACTCATGATTTCAATCTGTGAAATTTCTAAAATATCCACAAACCCCTTCTGATATTAATTTATTTATAAATTTGTTTTCAGTAAATAAGTTCGGTAAAAATTCGATCATAAACATTATGTCAAACATATCGATTCTAGTGTCCATTATATATTCGGTACAAATGTCACTATCTTTTCAGTATACAAACTTTAATATTTTAAGGGATTACCTTTTATCCATCTCATTCCTACCACCCTTACTTCAGTTATATCATTTTGTGAAATTTCATAAAAACCTTTTAATTAACTTTGGCAAGCGTGTATACTCTGAGTCAGTTTTGTACAATGACCCAATGTATGCCTATTAGTCATATACATATGTTGTTATGTATCGAACACAATATTGATTTTGCATAAATTTTACACCAGGTTATCAGAAAATATATGTGTAAACGTGTGGATACGTTTTTTTGTAAACTTGTGACTATTTCGCTAGTTTACTATAGTTTTGTGTACTACTTATAATTAGTTGTTAATTTTGCATTATAATACTATCAATGAAAAGGGCTTTGTATGTTGACATTCCTAACAGAAACATAAAGATAAATAAAACTTGGTGAGAATTCATGTGTGACTTATGGAAAGATTTATTTAATTTCAAGTTAATTTTAACAAGGTGATATCAGATGAATAGGACTTTTAAAAAACCAAGGTTGATCAGGTGTTTTCTTTATAGTATTAGATGCCTCAGTGATTCTAACACACGACCCCACGTAGGCCTGAACTTATAAATTGATTTTCTGGTTGACATAACATGATGAAAACTGTTTGATGATTAGGCTAATCAAATGACTTTTATTTTAAAGTACACTGTACTAAACTCCTTGAAATCAGTAGAAACGACCAATCAGAATAAAGATGGCGATTATTGAATTGAAGCGAGATATTTAAAACTCAGTCGTAGACTAAATTTTGACTACATCTTGTAGTTTGACTAATTTAAATGATGACGCTAATATGATCGTTGATCACATACATAGCCTTAAGAAATAGTATCTTCTGTAACTACGTGCAGAAATTAACTCAGAGAAGGTAGGGAGCCCATAAATGAGATTATTTTACAACGCACTACATGTTGAACAATTAAGTTGTTTGGAAATGAGATCAACGTCGTAACCTTAACGTTCGAAAACTACATTCTTTACAATTTTATTTTTTTGTAACGTACAATTCATTTACAAAAACTGTACATCTCACATTGATTAGCCAACATCTTACAAGGCCTTTAGCATAGTTTAGTTCTATTTTAGCTTCATATTGATTATAAGTCATTCAATAAAATCAAAATAAAAGTTATTGCATAGTGATCCAATCTTGAACCACACAAATGAAATAACAGATGGAACACAGTCCAACCGGTAGCCAGATGTTATTCAAAAGATTGAATAAGAACTTCATATTACATCTCACAGTCTTAGCAAAGTTGATATTAGCAGAAGTTCATAACTGCCTAGCTCTTGAAACCTTTCGGAATAGTGGTTTTGGAGTCTAAGTTAATTTGAATAAATGGCGACTCATCTGACTGGTCGTCAACATTCATCGTTGTGCTTATTTATAGGGCTCGTTAGACTCCTCCTGATTAAGAGATACTTTAGTAATGTCAATCGTTAGAATGAAGGACAAATAGTTTTGTGATATTATTAGAAACTACTCAAACTTTATTAATTAAATGAGAGCCTACGGCTTACTGGTATCTAGACTGGTTTCATCACACTACGTCTATCGAAGCTTTCAGCTATCACCATTTTCATTTTTTTTGTTACCATGTGTCCCATATGTGTAACTATTCTTTCTGTAATGAACGAAGACAGGCGAGAACGACCAAATGTATTTTGATACAAAATTACACAGTATAATGGTAAAATATAAGAACCATACATTAAATACTTCAGTTGAAAAATTCCATCATTTGTCTTTCATATTCTGTATGATTCTTCCGATTCACTATTCCTTTCTAATTCCGTCCCTGTTCTCTTCAAGTCAACCTTCATAGCCTTCTGCTGTCAGGTTTTCCCCAAGTGCCCTGGTACGGCCTGGAGAGTTTTCTCTCCCTCTCGAAATGCTCTCACATGGCCACGTGCACACAACTACTGCCAGGGAAGTCCTACTCACTGACTCCTCACGATATTACTGTTGTTTACTTAATTGAGAGGGCGAAAAACCAATGTCCGGCGCTTTAACTGGGTTGGTAGACACGGAGAGTTGGAAAACCCCTGATTCCAAACCAGTAATGCACATGGACTCCAGTGTTCTGAAGGAATAAATGGCGTATGAACCAATCGTTGGTCACCGGCTACAATGGGACTGCATCTCCTTACGTTTCTCCATTGCCTTGTGGATCAGACCTTTAGGTCGAGGGCTCTGAGTGTGGCCTCCCAAGAAAACTACCTTCGGTTCGGGCACCAGGGCAATATAACAGCCCACACACAAATCAAGTGACTTATGTGACGCATATGTATTCCGTGCTCCCTTGTGTTAATATTTATGTGTTCAAATAAACAGATAAAATATGTCTGTCGAAATAAGTAATGTACGCCACATTTCTTCTGGTGCCTACATGGGAAATTTCTCACTTACTCGAAATCACCAAACTGAATAGATTTATTTAAAGGGAATGCTAACAAAATGTAATCTCTTGAATATCACATCGATCAACTCATGATTGTTTCGGATTCACTTCTCTCCTTTCAAAATTAAAATGGTGCTTAGACATTTATCTTCGATAATGTCTAGCTAAACCAAATAGGGTGAGATATTCAAGGGTGTTTCTCACTTATTTCGGAAATTCCATTGATTTTAAACGGTCGATAGCTGTCGGAATTTCAGTGCTTATTCTAGAAAGCCTGTGTGTAATTTGTCACTCTTTCTTCACCCGGACTTAGGGCTTAACCAAAGAAGACTAGACTGCGTATTAATGAGTAGTGTAATATTTTACAGCTAAAAGCATGATATAGAAAGTAAAGGACATAGGAATGATATATGTATTTAATTCTAGCTTTCTGTTAAACATTGTTTACACTTATTCGGATCACTGTCGTGAGATAAACATGGAAAATAGAACTTAAATATCTGCAATCTGTATCGATTAGGGTAGTAAGGGCATTTTGCGTCTGAGTCATTGACTACTCTTTTACGTTTTGGTGCCCAGCATAGGAATAGACTATGAAGAGTTTAGGGGTGCTAGGATAAGAAAAGGTATTCTTCACGGAATAAAGGTAGGGAAAATAAATATTTTCAATTTGGATATTGAATCTTTAGCAGTCTGTTGGTTTCATTGGGTGTGATACCTTTGGAACTACTTATATGTGTTATAAAGAAACCACACTGCTCCGATGATATCCTAATGTGTTCGAAAGTTTTTAGTCTAGCTAAAATATGATAAATCTAGTGTCCTTTGTGGATATACGAGTAAAAACGATGACAATAACATATAAGTAGGAAGAGTGAATAATAGTAGCACACGTAATGTAGTGAACGAGAACTCAGGTGGTAAAGATAGATTTATTATTTAATGCCATACACCCAGTGCTTTCATAAAATATAAAAGTCATACATTACATACATTATTTACACATCTTTCGGTTGTACTATACATCCTTCATCCTTCACATTCGGTTGATATTCCAATTTCTTTCTGTTTCTCTTTCTGTTATCTTTAATCCAATCTTTTTCTGGCAGACAATCCACTTGCCATCGGTGCTACATACTACTTACATCTATCAACATAAGTAGCATACACCATGATAGTTGTGAAAGCACAATAAATTTCAAACTAAGACCCGTAGAGAAAACAAGACAAGTTTATTTTAGGTGGAATTGCACTATATCATGAATGATAAATGTATCATTACAGTATTGTATAGATACATAATTAGTGGTGACAAATAGGCCCGCTTAGTAAACATAAACTTATCATTTATGTTTTACACGCATGTACCATAATAATTCGCACTGAGGTAAAACTTCGAAGTTCATAGTATATGTTTTTAAAGTAAGATGATTCAGTGAGAACCATGGAGCATTGTCCTATTTTTGAACTCTACACCGTCTTACGCACTCACAACAATTTTTAGCTGCCTCCATAAGGGTAAATATCTCGATTCCGATCAGGTTCTTCTGTGCTTCCAGTTATTATGTTTTTTCCAAAATTATTACATCCATATCGTCTCTTGAATAAATAAAAATTCATGACAATGTTTTATTTTCTCTGCTTTTTGTCCTTTCTTATTGGATCTACAACTATTCTGTCGTAAACAAAACAAACGTTCATGTGCATGAATCACTCAAATACAGTTATGTACTTCCAACTATTCCAGTAGAAATGAGAAACAAGATGAAGTAGATAAAAATAAGAAATCATTCTTGGGTATAACCGATGGTGATAATGATGATGATGATGACGATAATGATCACAAATGGGAACAATTTTATGAATTTAATAAATTATATTTAAAATGTCTCACAACAAATTTAAATGAAGTGAAATGTTTCGTTACTATGGTCAGTGATGCAACACCGTCACAATCACAGTCAATTACAATAGTGAAAAACGACAATGTTCATATTAATTCTATTAGTCAGTCTTTTAATTATCCTACCATGCATTTATCACTGTTGAATAATTGTAATTTATTGAACACTAGCTGGCAACAAGAACAAATAAATAATATTGATAAAGAACGTGAAATTTTACAGGTTAGTTTGAGCTGAGTTGTTTTCTTTAAAATCATCACATAACTGCTAGATATCTCAGTGAAAGTTTAATCAGAATGTCAGTTAATGTGTATACTGATGATAATATATTGTCTATGGTTTGTAGATTGTATAATTTGCCGACGAAACTTAATGGAGTAGGATAAAGTTAACTATACACTGATACTATACGAATATGTACATTGGTTTTTGCAATTTGTGTCAATTTAAAATGAGAAAGTTGCACATTGTTTGTCAAATCCTCAGTAATTACTTGATTTAATTAATATAATCTAGTCAGGTTTCTTTGTTCTAAACAACTCTACCATATTAGAACACCGCTGATAGATTTCATTTACCTGTGGTAAAAATAAACTATGGGTAAAGCTGTCATTAAAAAATCCGTTAAATTGCTCTCTTGTAAGGAGACTGATCTAAAATACATTGAGTTTTGTTAATCAGACATTAAAGTGAGCAAAAATGACTACGAAGTACAATTCGAAAAGGCAAAAATGTTATTGAAGATTACACTTTAAAATTGCCACTAAGTACTCAATCAGTTCAAATGTAAAGTGTTCAGCTTAGGTTCGAAATTTTCTCTTTATTCTCCTTTTATTTAACTTACTAGACAAATAAACATTAATTACTGTACATGTTAAACCAATGTCTTTTTTGAAAAACATAAAAAACCCTACATTACTGAAACCACGATCTTATCTCACTCAGTATCGTGAAATGATTAAAGTTAGACTTGTACACGCTTGTGGATACCAGCTCGTTGGTCTAGAGGTTAAGCGTTGGCGCGCGAGACTAAAGGTATTAACTTCGATCCCCTGTGGTAAGGTCATTGATACGCAATGCTAAGAAGTCCTGTAGTAAGACGAAAGATCTATCCAATGCCTTCAGGTTTTTAATAGTTGTATAACGTAGATCGGTTCATGATTTCATCGATATTCAACAATCTCCATAATCATGTACGGATAAACAAAACGTTTGTTAACAAGAGTTTAAAGATTTAGTTAGATTGTTGTATTATTTAGTATAACGTAGTTAAACTATATACTGTTGATGTATTTCAAAGAAAATTATAGATCGTAGGTTTTAGCCTACAGTCACCTGAAAAAGTGGAATACATTGGTTAACAACACTAATAGTTTAGTTTGTGGTTATTACTAATGTACAGAATTATTTCATAGATGATACTATTAATAATTATAAATTCAAGCCAGATGTTTTTCATTTTCTATAAATCTTACACATTGTTTATCTGTTTGAATTTCGTTTACTTTGGATCGAAATCCCCGAACAGAACATTGTTTCATTACTAATGCATAGATCATGTGTATTCATCAGTTTTCATCAATTTTCCTCTTTATTTTGTTAGGAAAATTTCAATGAGTTGAGGGTTCTAGCCGATTTTCTTCATGTCTTATCATCATCATCATCATCATCGTCCCTATCATCTAGTCATTCTTCTGTAATAAAGACATTTAAACAACGAAAAATCTGGGAAGAATTAATCAATGAAATGAGATCCACTTCATCACGTGCATTTGAACAGTATACTTGTCTTGGGTTTTTAAAACAGATTATACGTAGACCCGGTGGATTATGGGATTTGTCTAATTCTTTAATAGGTTTGTTTTTTATTCTTTGTTTAAACAAAATTATTTGGGAATATAAATTTTGTTGATGAGCTGTTGTAAATATTTCAAAAGAATCTCTTGTCTTGTAATTTTCCTTATTTTCATAGGAAATCCCTTCATAAATCTGTAATTCATTCTTAATGATCGTATTTTATGGCCATACTATAGTACTGATTGGAAATTACAGTTATTTATTTGCTATTCGATAAAAAGTTGAATGCACTACTAAGACACTAGTTATAATTGTAGTTACACCTCAAAAAACTAATATCCAGTCTCTAAAAGTCAATTCATTACTGAAAAGTATCATTAACAACTTTATTCACTCCTAAGTTCAGTGTTGAAAATGACCATTCGTAAAGTATCATTTTGCATTTGGCAGGTTTGAAACCTATATTAATCATTCTATGGTCTATACACGTTCATTAAATGAGATTATATTATCACCACTCATAATCCTGATTCTAATTTGATCTATTTCGCGTCTACTAGTTTCTTTGATAGCTCACTGTCCCCAGTTTGACCAGTTACACTCTCGATCGACAATATCTTTATTAAGCTGACAACTAGTTTCTGATTGGTCCGTTATTCGCAAGCTCTTCTGCATGACTTTCCTTGGATTCAGAAGTAGAAACCAACCTCCATGGTATTTATATTCCAAACAGATGTGGTTTATATACAGACATATCAGATCACATCACACCATAGAATAAAAAATAACAATTATACATAAACAATCCAAAAGTGGTTATGAACAGGATAGAATGCAATTAATAGACTGGCAATAAAACAGGAATAGTAAGTCATATTACAGAGTTAATGAGTTAACGGAGAGCTTACAATAAATGGATATATATATAGTAAACCAGTTACTCAGCAATTTTATGACAAAATTATAATTATAATTCGAAAAACCACTTCCTACTTCTACAATAACCGTTCCGTTATAACAACTCATCTCATAAATACCAGGTTTAATTATTAGCTTGGATCTAGGAATCTGAGCTAGACATATTTCTAATCCTCAGTTTGTTGTTAATAACAAGAATTTTCAGTAATAATCTCACATTATAAGGACCTTAAGAGACCATAAACGTGATGTTGTTGATAAGAAGAGATAATTGGCAAAAGGCGTATGTCATTGATCATTATAGACGAATCATTGTACGACAATTAATTTCTGTATCTAATCATCAGTATGAATAGATCCTAGAATCTCAGTCATTAATATAGAAATTGCTAGTATTATCACATCAGATGCTCTATTTTTTTTTGAAAAATTTCCTGAAAAGAAAGAATTCCTGCGAGTGTATAGGGTAAGATTATAATTTATTGACAACTTTTGAGCAACGCTAAAATGACTTTAGAATGTCTACCTACTTGCTAGGGTTAAGCGAAGATTAAAGATTACGAAGATCATCAGAATTATGTGATATATCAGCGCAATACATTTCGAACAATCTGATCACATATATGCATGTTAAGAGTATTTATATATAAAAAATAAAAGGTCAACTAGACTAGAACAAACCTTAAACCTACCCTGGTAATATTGACCTATTAGCCAGAGTGATTAGGTTTTGAATTGCGTTCACATTACTCTTATTATTATCCTTATCTCCTCTTACCCCATTTCCAGTCTAGTTGACCTTTTAAATAAGAACTTTCATCTAAATTTGAACAAATAGTTTCACAATATTTGGGCTCCGAGTTAATGTGAGACATTAAAGAAGAAGAATGTATTTGTAAAATTTCAGCGAAAGAATTTGAAGTAAATTCAACGTACTTATTTATATTCGATCATTTTGTTGTTTGATTATATTTTCCTTGAATAAGCCTGGACCGGATTGCCAGGCGAAACGTTGGATTTACTTAAAATTATTTCGCTGATATTTTACAAATACATTCTTCCTCTTTAGTTGACCTTTTATTTTTATATATAAATACTCTTAACATATATATGTGTGATCAGATTGTTCGAAATGTATTGCGCTAATATATCACATAATTCTGATCATCTTCGTCTTCTTATTACATTATCGAAATTTATCAAAGGGAATAATTGCTTTAGACTATAGATTAGTGTGAGAAATTAGGATTAGGATTTACTGTTGAGCGTTAGGGTTAGGAATTAAATGTGATGTTTTCATCACGAACTGACATCATCTATAATTCCAAAATGATATCTAACCAAAATTCAAGACCTATTATCTTAAATATAATCGGTTCGCCCATAAATTATAGTCTCGTCACTTTTGTTATTTTAAACTATATCAAAATGCTTATCATTTATTTTGGTTTTTTATATAACTCTCTATAGAACTATTCAATCAGTTAGAAAATGCTTCTCAATCACATAGTTGGACAGAATTAGAATTGTATAATGTTGAACTTTCTATTCGTCATTTAAGTCATCAAATTTGGATTGAATTAACTGCAATTGATAATTTATCAAATGAATATTTTAATAAAACTGAAAATATTGGTATAACTGATTGGTTGGAAGCATGGATTTATCGTTTACAAGAGATATATCGGCTAGTGATTAATCAATGGATGGAGAAAATGCATCAATACCGTAACAATGTACAAATTCATACAATTAATGATTGGTGTGATTATGTTTCAAATTGTATTGGTGAATGTAAAGTGTAAGTATAAAGATATATATATATATATATATATATATATATATATATATATATATATATATATATATATATATATATATATATTCAGTATATTTAATAAATAATATATATGATATGTATATATATCATTTGGTTTAGCTTCTCTCTCTTTTTGTGTTACCAATTTCCTTTATTTTCTCACTAACGATTTCATCAGTGACCTTAAAATTGTGTGGTCCAGTATAGACTAGTTACAGAGACGTGTCGTATCAGGGTGCTTTTAGAAGTTTTCTTTTTTTTTTCTCAGTAGCCATTTGTTATCTGATCGATGAAAAATAGTCTTGAAACAGTGTTTTCGTAAAAACCAAATAAGTATTGAATACTGTTTACAGTAATTAACGGTACTTTTGGAATTAGATTAATTTGTGTTTGCCATGATTAGTATATTTTAACTGTATTATTCACTGATAATTTAATGGTTGATTGGTGATTGCTTTAAGATCTCTTTTAATAATCAAAATAAGAGTGTAAATATAGTTGAAATCATTTTATCCTTGTGTCATTGGGTTATCTGTTGTATTTAATTAATGACGGACCAATCATCTGGTTTAACAATCTACTGTTTTATTACCCTAAATAATTTGAAGGAAGCTTATTTTAAAAATTTTTTTTATCAGTTTATCATATACTCTCAACTATTGTTTATTTTGAGTTCTCCGAGTTAGATGGTTTAATTGTGGAGCATCCATTTTCATTTTGAACGACATTTTCAGCATCTACTTTTACAATACTTTAATATTTATTCTTAAGAGGACGTTCAAAACAGGATAATAGTGAAAAGCTAGCTGAGTAAACACTGAGTAACTCAGAAAACTACAAACTATAATCAAAACCAATATACCTTATGCTTAAAAGTTGTGCAACATCCAGTTGACAAGTCCCAAACAGAACTAAATGCGCATCCTGAATGCCACTACTGACCGGATTTGTTCTATATTAACTTGTTTTATAATGGTTATATCGAGGTGATTCATATAGGATACACACATGCCAGCCAAGATTGATCAAATTTCAGTCAAAATATCATTGGCGAGATAATCTAGATCTTCTGTTTATGTAATCCATGTTCACGTACTTAGAACTCTGTGTAATTTTCGACTACTTGAAATTAACAGCTGTGGCTATGATATTGATGTGACGGTAAAAATAATGAATTTTGTTATATTGTGGTCTGTTTATTCTATCCGTAAATAAATGAGCATACTGATTACTTTCCCTGGACTGCCTCTATAGAATCAGTGACCTTCTGTTAACCACTGACTCGTTCATAATGATATAACAATCGAGAACAAAACTTAATAACTATTGATCCAGAATGCAGTTCCTCCACGCTCGTTCTCTCAAAAACCACAACCCGACAAAGTTACAACATACGATGATAGTTTATGCATCAAATAGAAATCAACAAATAGGAAAGTACAAAGATACAATAGTTCAAATATTTAGTAATTATACCACAAAAATGTAAACAATAATCTTTTGCAATATAGTTCTGAAACATATTTTCTAAAATATACGTTCCTTTTTGACAGATATCTCAACTGAATATATTCCTATCTTAAAGTTCTATTTTTATTCTCAATCGGTTCAAAAAGAAATATATAGTAGAGTAATGCTTCTTAAGTCAGTCAGGCAGTCAGTAACAACGTAGAGCGTCGTACGTACGTACATCAGTTCGAGTTATCATACCACATTAGCACAGAGATGCAGTAGTCCATTCAAACCCCGTAGTGGTTAGAGGTAGTAAGAATATAAACAATAATCGGAAACATTAGGGTTTGAAGATGTTATTCAAGGAGTATAATCCAGTGAAATAAATTTAGAAAGGGAAAAAAGGAAGGGACATGAAGAATTCGGAAGATTAGAATTTGGGAGGACACAAAGAGTGGATGCACCTGCACCATTGCAAACGATTTTGACCCATATCATTCAAGGTCTCTAACCATCTGTTGTCATCATCTCACGGTAAACAACCGGGTAGTCTACACCTGCCAACATGACTCAGTCCACTTGTCAGTGACTTCATGGACTTGTGCCATATTTTGGTCTGACCACCCCTAGCTTTCTTCCAACCTACTCCAACACCATAAAACATGACTCGTCGGGGCAGTCAGTGGTTGGGCATACGTAACACATGTCCCAGCCATCTCAACCGGTGAATTTTCACTACTTCATCAATTGATTTTCCATCCTTGCCTAGTACCCGTTTCCTAACAACTGCATTGCTTACTCGGTGGTCCCAGGATATACGAGCAATATTTCGAAGACACCTATGATCGAATACTAGTAACTTACGAATATCCTCTACTCTTATCGGCCTTGTTTCAGTGCCATAAGCGCTTAGTTATTTTTTAACCTTCCTATGTCTGTAATTGTAAATGAATTCATTAATCGATTTAAATGTATTAATGACAAAATATTGATAAAGTTGAATAGCCGGCTAATTTTGTTTTTCACCTATTAGATCGTTGTTATTTAGTAGTTTTCACCCAAGTTTATTGATTTGGCTGCCTTATAATATATCAACCAATTGATTTAATGTCACTCTAATACTGACCTGAAAATGTTCATGTTTTCAATTTTGGTTGAAATATATTAGTGACAATCATTTAAGGTTTCACCATGTCGTTAATATTTTTATTAATTTACTAATATATGGGAAGTTAGACATTCGTTACTGCCGGCATTAAATGATAGTCGAAAGTTGAAAATTAGGTTCGTTAAGCTTTAATTCACTAATATAAGCATATCATCTTTGCCACAGGACCTGAATATCCTTGGTTTGATCCATCGTGGTTTGCAAAGTTTATTTTGAGGTGTCTCAGATACATATGTCCAATACCATGTCTGGTTTACAGTGGTTCACAATCTTATTTTACTCTCTGATATAAACTAGTCTTTAATTTAGTAGATATGTAGTAGGAAGTCTTTTTTCCCCTCCATTGTTCTCATACAGCCAGAGTAGCAACAAGTAACGCACACTATGAGGGCTATTAGGATAACGTTCTTAAAACGAGGAAGGGCCACTAAATTCAACGTTTTAAAATTGTATTGTTAGTTAAATGATCATCTCACTGTCCCTGAACATATGTTGTCGAATTTGGATATTAATGATTTTATATGGTTACCAGATATGAACTATGCTTGACGACAATCATAATTAAACACAGACAATCGCTTAGTATTGTAAACCTAAAGTAGTCAGGTTTAAAAAAACATTTAAAACTATGAGAAAAGAAGGATTGTTTTTTCTCTCGATTGGTTTTCAAAACTGTACTTCGATTGACTCATTCCAAGAATATTTGAAGAAAAAAGATGCATTACACATTATCGTGTGTTACGATTTACACTGATTCATGGCATCTTCCCAGATAACTTGATGTATCACATTATTAAATAAAGAATTTATTCTATTAAAATTAACGAAAATCTTGGTATATTTAGAAAATAAACAAGTTAGTCTCGTTGTATTTTCTCAAATAAGAAAAGAAAAAAAAGCGACGTAAAAGTACAGCGTAAATTATTCATATACCATTTACAAAATTCAAATAAATTACTTTCACCATAGCAACTAACCATAAATTGGTAGGATTCTTTAAATATACCCTTTACTAGATACACAACAATGATGTAAAAGAATTTCATGTCATACTCAACTCTGTTATGTGTAGATCTGTAGATCTTTTTTTTCTAAACGAAAACAAATTATAAATAATTTACTCCTGCTATGAAGTGATAGTGTTGTCTTTTATCATCTCTCGGTATGAATTCATATTTATTATAATGTAAAAATCATAGATAATTTTAGTTATGATATAAATATAGTTTACAATAGATTACTGAATTCTTCACATATTGATATAATCGTTATGATGCTTGATTTATCCACAACATTCATTATGTTGATATATATGTTTATGTATATATTTCTGGAGAATTTACTGCTTAACAAGTTTGTAAATGAAATTTTGGGGCTAACAGTGGAATGTAGGACCTATGTTGTTTCGTTCTTTTCAGGACCTGTCAGTTGAATGAACCTTCAACTTAGAATTTATGTCTACTCTAGGTTTCGCACCCAGTGTTTTTTCTAAAACACACAATGCATTATTCAGTTTAGTTAATGTTTCTAGTTGGGATACTCGCATATGCAAAGAATATGAATTTTAGTTCAATTTGTAATAGTTGATAATTTACATGGATCTGGAAGTGAGCATCAACTTTGGTATGCAGATACATGCAACTGATGAGCTTTAGACGTGACACAATTTAAGTCCTTGATCTCACTGTTATCTACTATGCTTACTTATATGAATACTTGTGATTATGTAGTATTACTGAGGATAACCTCTCAGGACATGCTGACTGATTAAAGTTCAGTTGAAATATCAACAAAGAGATAATCCCGAGTCAATAGAAACGATCATGTACTCACTAGTGACTAACTTCGAGAGGTAATTCTTGGAGTTCTGAGGTGAAGCCATGACCAGTAAAGTTCAATCATGTGGACTGTGAGGCATTTACCCACCGAAGGCAATGAAAAATGGTCGCGCAACATCGTGGATTAATTAAAGTTAGACATTAACACCATTGGATCCCACCTCAGTGATTTTAATGTTTAGCGTTCGTATGAGACTAAGACTCCTGGGTTCGAGTCCCGCGTGCAGAATCCTGGGTGTGCACTGCTAATGTTTCTCACACTAGGATGGGACAGCTATTCGACGCTTCCAGGTTTTCAGTGGATGTTTAACTTTGATCGATTCTTGATTTCAAATAAAACTCGACTGAGAAAAATGAAGTGATATTTTCTCCTTTTCCAATCTTCTTGGTTCAAAGTCAGTTTCTAATATAAGCCATTAAGAACCAGGAGTCAGTGGATAGCTGTTTCCTAATGGTGTAAGACTCTTCAGCACAGCCCATTCACAACCGTATATGGGATGGAATTAAGAACCTTCAGATCATATTGTTTGAGTATTATCTTCTAACCGCTGAGCTACAATCGCATAGTCTATATTTTCGACTTCAGTCAACTTATGATATAATGTAAAAATCATCCATTGTCATCCATTGGCTATCCCAGTCTCTAAATATTTGCACTCTATCGTTAACAACTTTTCACTTCTAATTGAGGAATCATTCTCAAAGGTCATCACTAGTGATGGATATAATCAATAATCATCTTCAGGATTTATAGAGGTCGTTCAATTTGAAGTTAGTTTTCATTAACTGAACCAGAAACTAGTTGATAGCTGTTGTATCTTAGTTATCCGGTCATCCTTTTTGTAAGATGGGTCGTGTTGACGAGAACTAATGAAGCAAAAGCATACTTAATTGACTTGTGGATAAACTTCCAGGTCAATAGGTCCTTAATTCTTATAAAGTTTAACAGTGATTCATAATCAATATCATTGTATCTAGTTTATTGATTAACTTGATCATTAAATCAAGTGAGGTGATATTCTACGATGTGATATACTGTTTTTCTGTTTTCATTACCAAGTTATACTTTCAACTTTGTAGAAACCCATGCTTTCTTGAAAAATCGGACACATGTTATCCAATACTTCACTGAAAAAGCCTACGACCGGGTTATTAATTTTTACATGTATGTATCGAAACACTAGTATAACTTACAGGGAATTAAATTTTCTGTCAATAAATGAAAATAAATACCATGTGGAATATAATGCAAGTGTCTTTTCGAGATGTGGACATCTTGACGTCATACACTAATACTCATTCTTCATTGTACATCCCCTTCCTTCTAAATGATGACCTAAGGTGTTTTCAAATGTTTAGCATTAGAAATTCATGTAAAATAGAGAGTTACATCAAAATATCTAAAACACTAGGGATATATACATGCAATCTGTACATGTGTATAGGAATAATTTCTACCGTGATTAACATTATTGATTTTAATCAATTATATGATCATAATCAATTGGATGATAGTAACATCAATTTTTAAATTATTTTTTATTGTTAGGTTTCATAATCTAATTCCTAATTCGGGATCTTCACCTTCTCAAAATAACCAACAATCAAAAAAATACCAATTTTTAGACAAAGAATTTCATTTTGCTATACTTTGGTCTTTATTATGCGATGCGGATATAATTCAAGAGAAGTGTAATGTTCAACTAGAAACATCATCCTCTTTGACTAGTAAACAATTCACTCAAACATTACAAGAATTGAAACGATATTTAAACATATACATTGAAAAGTTTATTGTGTCATCCATGGATAATGCCAAGTCTACGCTACATGATTCTAATCATAACCTAATTACACTACTTTTAAAACAATTGGAATACAGTTTACACTATATTCCTGATCACTATCGTGTATTTTCCTTAGAATTAATTGATAACACATTTAACATTTCACATCAATCTGATCAGTTACGTGTCATGTTACAACAGTTAAAACATTTACGTAATTTATGCGAACGTAATTATCTACTATGTAACCAATCCTTAAGTCTTTTGCATAAAATAAGCTTTTCTAATTTAAACCAATATGAATCGAATGCTGTGAAAGATATGCTTCGATTGTTAACTACATGGAGTTATGGTTATTTTGTTATTCATCAATCGTTAGAACGGGTTATTCGTGCTGGAGGTGTTACTGAATCTGAAAGATATCCATTGAGAGCATTAATAACAACTGAATTACGTTCAAAAGCAGTAAGTTAATAATTTTGACTTGATAAGAAATATTATCTTCATAATATCTATATAATTATTAATCTACTCATTTATTGTAGTTCTAGTCATTCACCGATTGAGCTTGACAAACAATCTCAAGTATCAATTCTTCCCTTCAGTTGCATAACACTTCATATTGTGTTTGTTTGATGCATTAATGATTAATACCCTATCCACTATGATTTTCCCAACACTACTTGAAGTCATTTAGATTTCCATGTTGAAATGTTGATCGAATTTGTTAAATTTAATATTATGTGTCAATTTCACTTGTCAGTATTAAGAAATATACAGTACAATTTATAATGATTCCTTTTTTTTCTTAAAGATAATCATCTATATTATGTGATTTACACAATATCAGGAAGGGGTTTTGTGGAGTTTGTAGTAATTTAATAGTTGAATTCATGAGTTCATTAAAACTAGATTACCATGGAAAACCTGGGAGCATTGAACGACCGTTTCGTCCTAGTATGCGACTATTCAACAGTGCACATCTATGATCCCACCCGCGGGATTTGAGCTCAAGACCTTTGGTCTTGTGTGCGAACACTTAATCTCTAGGCCACTAAACCGGTATCCAATATGATTTACATATATATACAGTATATGTATATACGTTATAATAATGGTTCAATAATAAGAATTATATTTAAATACGTAAAAGTTTAAAATAAAACTGTCATGTTCAATGTGTACCATGACATTGTTTAATGATTGCCATTAAATAAAGTCACCTACTATGTTTAATGTAGCAATTCTTAATCTTTTCTTAATTAGTTGAAAAGAAAATGTCAAACACAGCTTTACCTCAGCATGATGATTTTCTTATAGTTTAACTTCATATTTATTTATTTTAACAATGTAACAAGATTTTTTGTAAAGTAATATATCCAACTATTTGAAACATTTCAATGGAATTAACTTAATTAAATTGATATTTTACCTGGTTTCGTTAACTTTCATTTGGAGTTGATACTATACATTCATTCAAAGTTAAGACTTAAAGTTTCGTCAATCCCTAGTATTAACGAATGATCTTATTATAACATCAGCTCATTAACATTGAGCACATTGATCATATAATTCTCGACTGACTGAATAACTCATCTTTCATTGGACATAATGATATGAAGTTTGATTTAGAGTGTGGTTGTGGATGTATATCTTTGATACCTAGTTATGAAGTAAGATTACAAATTGTTTGAGAGTTTACTTTTTTTTTCCACTGGATTCTTTGACTGTTATCATTTCGTGATGAAAGATAGTTTCTTTATAAATTTTAGAATCTCAACTTTGTTTAAACATTTTCAATCAGGATTTATTAACATAGTCATTTTCAATCTAAGCGTATCAAACTAAATTCGATTTTCAGTTCTAGTATTATCCTTAATGAAACATACGTAAAATAATGTATGCTTAGCTAAAGCTTACACATACGTATAATACTATTCAGCATTGAAGGGAATTAAGAGTAAAGCTAGAGACATCTAATCCAATACACAAAACTAACCAGTGAAGTTGTTAGCTATTTATTTTAAATAACTTGTGTTGAACGGTTCGAGTTCTCTCATTATTCGTAGTGTATGTCTGGTTTTTTCTGTGGCAAAGATTAAAATCGATCTCAGTAGAGGAAATCTATTCTTTTTTTATATCCAATCAATTTTTAAGTCTTTGTATTATTCCAAACTTTTAATTCCACAAATTCTTTGAGGCTTTCTAGTTATATTCTTTGTTCATTTGTTTCTTATTGGTACTACTATTATTTCAACTCGTTTGATTTTGGTTTCATCTACTCTGACCAACAGTGCCGATTGTTTAAATATGTTTATTTGAATAGGTATATATTTGCCCAAGATCTTATGTTTTTTATGACTGAGTGATGGGGTTGACGAAAGTAAACTTTTTCTACATTCATATAAATAGGAAAGAAATCAGCTTTTGAATTTACAGTTTCAGCCAATTAACTCATTTTATGTCTGCCACCAAATGCACTGGTACGGCTGAAAGTGGGGAGAGTCAACTCTCCCTCTCGAAATGCTTTTACATGGCCATATGCATACAAACACTGCCAGGAAAGTCCTACTCATATCCTACTTGCGGCATTACTGTTGTTTACGAAATTGAAAGGATGAAAAGCGAATGTCTGGTGCTTTAACCGGGTTAGTGGATATTGAGGATTCACCTAGGGGTTTTGGAAACCCTGATCCTAAACCAATGGTGCACATGAGCTCCAGGATCCTGAGGGAACCAATTATTGGCCACACATTACCATGGGAATGCATCTCCTGACGTTGCTTCACTGCCTTATGGATCAGACCTTTAAGTCGAAGGCTCCGGATGTACCCCTCCTAAAAAACCCACCTGCTTCCGTTTGAGCACCCGGGTAGTATCACAGCTCACACACAAATCAATGACAACAACTATTCGTCTCGTTGTTATTGTGTGGCGCATATGTATTTAGTGCCTCTTTTGTACCAATGTTTATGTGTTCAATTAATAAATAATAACTGCATCATTTATATACTTTACTTATTTTAGATTCAAATGTTAAAACAGAAACAAGCATTTATAGAAGCAGTACATTTTGGTTTGGAAACAATTACATTACAAACAAAGTCATTATCTAATAAATTACATGAATATGATTCAAATTCAAAATTGGCAAACATTAAAATTCAATGTGAAAATTTATTTGAACAATTAAAACATCTTTATTATAAAATATTAGAAGATGATAGATTGAAAATAACGAATAGAGCTGAAATACCTGATCATGATTTAAATTGTTTAGTGATAGCTCGAAAAAATCAAATAATGGAATTGATGGAATTCTGTCGAAAAATAGATCAAATTAATTGGATCAATTCTTGGGAGGGTTTATTAGAATATACTAATGAATTAACTAGTGAACGAGGATATTCTAAACTATGGATTATATATTTTCTTCAACAATTTCAAGTATTCTCATCAAAAACTAATTTAGATGAAATATTTTTATGTCAAATAAATCAAATGGAAGAGATTATACATGATTGGTCAGATTGGCTCAAGAAGGTTAGTTATTATTAGAGATTATGGTACTTTTTTTGTTGTTCAAATAATTGTACTAATCTCAATGGTTAAGATCATGTGTCAGTTGAAGCTAGACCATCATGGAAAACCTGGAAGCACTGGACTGCCGTTTCGTCTTATTGTGGGACTCCTCAGCAGTGCGCATCCACGACCCCGCCCACTGCGAGATTCGAACCCAGGACCTACTGGTTTCGCGCGCGAGCACTTAACCACTAGACCTATGAGCCGGCATCCAACGGTGTTAATGTCTAACTTCAACTAATCCACGAAATTGAGCGACACATTGTACTAATCACTGAATTGCTTAATTTTTTTTAATACGTAGAGTTTGTGATTGTTGTGAAAGCATGATGTTGGTTTAAAGAATATACCTTTATGATGGCTGTTAACATGTATGAAATCCATGAATGATATGGCTCAAAATCGTTTGCAATGGCGCAAGTGCATCCACTCTTTGTGTTCTCCCGAATTCTAATCTTCCGAATTCTTCATATCCCTTTCTTTTTCCTATTTCCAAATTTATTTCACTGGATTATACTCCTTCAATAACATCTTCAAACCCTAATGTTTCCGATTATTGTTTATATTCTTACTACCTCTAACCACTACGGGGTTTGAATGGACTACTGCATCTCTGTGCTAATGTGGTATGGTAACTCGAACTGATGTACGAATGTACGACGTTCTCCGTTGTTACTGACTGTATGAAATCCATTCTCCTTCTTCAAAAACTATCACCTCAAAATTTATGGAATGTAGTAATAATTTTGGTGGAGATTGATTTTATGCTGGGTGGTTTAATCATGAAGCTTTACTTATTGTTCTTTCGAATAAAATGATTAACATAAACCTCAGGTAGAAGTCCTGAAGTTTGTGCTGATGAAAAAAAGCTTCACAGTTAAATCATCTAGTCCAGAGAACGAAACACCACAGAAATAATCTTTTCCACCATCTCACAGTAATAATTTGACATTAACTGTGTAAATACTCTTATTAGATGAATCATTTTTCACAATTGTAATTTTAAACTGTAACCAGTTACTATTACCCTTAAACAAGTTTTCATTATTATTATCGTTCAGTTTTGACTTTTATGTTTTTCGCTTTTTTTCATATTTGTGAAGTGGACAATTATCTTTTATAATTCAGACCCGTTAATTATTTCCATCCTTATATTCTTCTCTCATCCCTAGATTATTGCGTAAACTCATTTGATAATAAGAGTCTCGAATCAATTTATGATATAATCTTTTCTGTCGTTCTATAGACATATATTCACCATATAACTATAAATACGAATGTACAACTTAACTTTTTGATGGAGTTTTGTTCTCTGAGCTGGATGGTTTGGTCGTGGAGCTTTCATCGTTCTTCTGAACGACATCATCAGCATAAACTTCAGACTTCACAACTGAAGTAAATGATTTCATCGAAAGGAGAATTTTCTTCGCTAAATTGTCTTTATTTTTATTCAATTCCTTTTTTTCAAAGATTCGAAATCCCCACGATGCTATACAAATGTCTAGTCGTTGTAAAACCAAACAACAAACCACACTTCATCTCTGAGATACTAAAAATGGAATGGAATAATTCAGATACTTTCATTGTGCATAAAAGTCGCTTTAAGCAATGTCAAGGCGATTACTTCAATGAAGTTTGTAGAATAAACTCTCTTGTCTATTAAATCTTTAATAAAACAGGGGAGAGTGTCTATTTTCTTCAGATTAGATTAGACTGAATATTTCATCTTAAATACAAAAAAGCTGTGTTCATTATCGAGCCCAGAACGCTTACTTCTTGAAAGGTAATTTAGGTTAGTATTTCAAATGGAAATCTAATGCTTATACTGTCTGGAAACCTATCTGTTCAGTAATCTATTGTAAATGTCTTTGTTATTACCAGTTGTGGTTACCTTATTAAAATTTACACTTAGTTATTAGTCATTTACATATTTATGAAATTAATGTAATGTTAATATCATACAACAATGAAAAATTCTATATTATCATTAGATATAAAGATGTTCACTTATCATAGAAACTCAGTAGTTTTATTTTCAACAGATTTCAGTTGTTACTAAGATAAAAATAACAGTTTACAAATTTTTTTCAATGAATAGTATCCAGTTTCTATAGAATACTAGTCGGCAACTAACATATATAATAATAACACTATAGAATTTATAACATTTTATTATAAAGTTAATAAGTAACTTAATTAGATAAATAGAATGCATTATATTTATATTTTAAAGATTTCATGTCTTTAACATACATTTGAACTATCATTATCATGTGTACAATTGTATGTTATGCAAATTTAATTCCAAAGTTTCACAACTATCTATTCATAATAATCATAAGTATGTATTATTATTAGTGTTAGTATGAGTATGAGTAGTAATATTAGTAGTACTAATAGTAGTACTATTTCGTTTTGTTCATTTTCATATAATCGTTTGACTAATAATAGTAATAATAATAATAAAGTCCAAGTGTGATAATTTTATTATTTGCATTAGATAACAAAAAAATGTTTTGATTTTTGTGGTGGTCAATTAATCCTCTCCTTTCTATAATATTTACACAAATTTTTTTTCTCGACCTTAGATCGACTTATAAAGTACTTTAGAAAAAAAAAGATTTATGTAACCGAATCGTTAATTTGTCATTGTTTGTATCTTCCCATTGTTTATGTAAAAGATTTCAATTGATCAGTCTCTCTTTTGGGATATGTGTATCCTGTGCGAATTACCTCAGTATTATTAGAGTGGGTTTTGTGGAGATTTTTTTTAGAAATTTCACTGGTTGAAATTGGTTGAAGTTAGACATTAACACTGTTGGGTGCAGGCTTAGTGGTCTAATGGTTAAGTGCTTGCGCGCGGAACCAATAGGTTCTGGGTTCGAATCTCGCGGTGCGCGGGATCGTGGATGCGCACTGCTGAGGGGTCCCATACCAGGACGAGACGGCCGTCCAGTGCTTCCAGGTTTTCCATGGTGGTCTAGCTTCAATTGATTCATGATTTCAACCAGTGAAATACCTCAGTATTGCTGTTTAGTTATAAGTTTCAATTAGAATTAGATAATGAGTAGACGTTATTGGGTTTGAATTCTCGCTTGTTAACACTAACACCGAGAACTAGGTTCGTCTAACTGAAGGGTCTCAAATGGGATAAAACGGGTGTGCTGGAATCCAATGATAGTCAATATTCAACTCATGTCAAATCGTTAATTTTGTAAATGTGTAGCAAACAATGAAAAGCAATGAAAATGATAAAAAAAAGAATAGACAATAGTCATACTGAAAGTTGAAAATGGTATCATGCTTTCAAACTGGTAATAAAGATTTAGATCATCCATCCAATATTTGATTAAACTGCAAGTTCATTTATTTTAAAACCATTAACATAAATATCAATTAGTTTCTTAGCAAGGTGGCTTTTTATACGATTGGGTTGCTAACCCCCATATCCAACTGTCCCTTTTTATTCCCGAATATGAGACAGCCAGTAATCCTAGAAGCGCTCAAGATATATCTGTCTGTGAACACAGTATTCTGTCATATTTTAGTGCGTGCTACTGATGTCGATAGTTATAAGTAGTATATATCATCAATCGGAAGTCAAATACCTGCGGGTAGAAGGTTAAGGAGATCGAAGAAAACAAAGCGAGAACAAAGAGTGATTAGTGTGGAAACGAAGGAACAATGAAGTCTGAGACGATTGACTGATATTTTGCAAATGAATTATTTACTGCATGGTTCTCAGATTTTACTAAGGGATTCTATGATTTTGTATTTAAATACATTCGATTGTCCCCACTAGTGTTCTTGTTCACTACAGTATATGTTATTCACATATAAAATGATCAACATCTAGGTGTTTGATTTGAAACTTTCAGTCAGATATTTAGTAACATTTTTTGAATCTATAATAAATTGAATAATTTAAGAACATTTTATTTCTTCTAAACCATCACGTATTAAAGTGTGAGAGTTTTCGATCAAATTTCAATAAAACCTGTCAGGAATAAATAGATGTATTAAATATTGATTTTAGGGTAATTATAGGTTTCTAGAATGGTAATTATGTTATTGAACAATTAGTTTACATTACATTTTTTCTAATTTATATTACTTACTTGCTTACTTACGCCTGTTACTCCTTTTGAAGGAGCATAGGCCGCTCACCAGCATTCTCCATCCAACCCTGTCCCAAGCAATCCTTTCTAGCTCCTTCCAGTTGTTATTCATCCTTTTCATATCTGCTTCTATTTCCCGACGTAATGTGTTCTTTAGCCTTCCTCTTTTCCGCTTCCCTTCAGGATTTCAAGTTAGGGCTTTCCTCGTGATGCAGTTTGACAATTTGCGTAATGTATGTCCTATCCGTTTCCATCGTCTTTTCCTTATTTCTTCTTCAGTTGGAAGCTGGTTTGTTCTCTCCCACAAAAGGCTGTCGCTGATGGTATCCGGCCAATGTATGTTGAGTATCTTGCGTAGACACCTATTTATAAATACTTGAACCTTCTTGATGATGGTTGTAGTAGTTCTCCAAGTTTCAGCTCCGTACAGTAGGACTGCCTTGACATTCGTATTGAAGATTCTCACTTTGATATTGGTTGAAAGTTGTTTTGGGTTCCATATGTTCTTCAGTTGTAGGAATGCGACCCTTGCTTTTCTGATCCTCGCCTTTACGTCTGCATCTGAGCCTCCTTGTTCATCGATGATGCTTCCCAGGTGTGTGAAGGATTCTACATCTTCCAGAGTTTCGCCATCAAGAGTGGTTGAACTGCTGTTCTCCGTTTTGAATTTGAGGACCTTGGTTTTCCCCAATTTATATTACTGAGTTGAATATATCCAGAGTTGTTGATTTTACTATGATTATCAAAGATCATATTAACCATTAATATACACATTTTTCTTGTTCACATTATTATCTACCTTTCATTGATTGGTTCCTTTCTCTATTTATAATGATGAAATATATTTCATTTGAAAATTATTCATTCATTTTCTCTATCAACCTTTCTCTCTTTAATTTCCTTTAAATTTATTGGATGAATTGATCACTTGGTAATTTTTTGATTGAGATCATGAACCGATTGATGTTAGACCACCACCTTTGGAAACCTGGAAGCACTGGACGGCCGTTTCGTCCTATTGTGAGACTCCTCAGCAGTGCTCATCCGCGATTCGAACCCAGGGCTTTTGGTCTCGCGCGCGAACGCTTAGCTAACTAGACCACTGAGCCAGCATCCAATGGTGATAGTGTCTAACATCAACCAATCCACGAAATCGCGTGACCAACTTCCGTTGTACTGAGGTAGATACCTGTCTCTACCCGACATGGATTAGCTCCACTGGTAATTAGATATTTCTAAAGTAACTTTCTTTTATATTCGGTCTCCAGTTTGATTTTATATTAACTTTACTTTTTGTTAATGTTTGATTTAAATTCATTACTGAATTTATGAGTAGTATTTGTTTAAGTACTATTTTTCTTATCAACTACTTATTTTCACTATTTCAGACAAGTTGATTAATTCATTATTAGTAGGTTGTAGATTATTCCTATAATTACTATACACTAACTATTCAATATCGGCAACAATTTAAAATTATGTCTAAAAATTATTTTGTCAAAATCATTTGATTTTGACTGTTAAACGTGAAATGAATGGTGTCTTTTGAATTCATAATTCAGTGATTGAATTCGAAGAAAATATACATTAGTAAATCTTTTTTTAAGTGATATCATGAATGGATGAGTGTTAGACCACTATTGAAAATCTGAAAGCACTGGACGGTCGTTTCGTCCCAGTGTGGGACTCCTCAGCAGTGCTCATCCACAATCCCGCTCAAGGGACTTGAACCCAGGACCTTCAGTCTCGTGCGCGAACACTAAACCTCTAGACCACTGACCTGGCATCCAACGATGTTAATGTCTAACTCCAACTAATCCACGAAGTTGGGCGACACATCCACTATTGTCATCAGTGAGTTACTATCTCAAAACAGACCTGGTTGAACTCTACTAGTCAATATCGTCCAGTGCTTCCAGGTTTTCCATGGTGGTTTAGCTTCAATTGATTTATGATCTCAACTATTGAAATTACTATAATATCCACAAAACCCCTTTCGATATATTTGTTTTCCATACCCTAGAGTGAATAGTTTAAAAACAACAAATCTATAGTCATATTAAAAATTTATCGAATTTTCTGTAGGTAAGAAAAACACTGAATGGTTGACCAATAAAATCGATTAAAACGGATAAATGGGAATTCAGATTGACATTGAAACATTATTTTCAGACTCTTTATAAGAATAAAGCGAAATAACAATTGATTTGCTTGATTGTTTTTTTGTTCTTTGTTTCATCCTTTAGAAATTTCTTTCATAAGGGAATGTTTTCATAAAGATTATTATTTGTGTATGTGTTTATGTTTGTGTCTCTACATATGTGCATGTATATTGCTAGCAATCTGGTATATTGATTACATTTTAAGGTCGAACTGTGGATTTGTATCATTCTTGGGAAATGTTTAGTTATATTTATTCACCACTAACTTTGGGATGTAAACTATAGGTCGAGTGCAATATACTACTAATCTGAATTACAGTGAGAATATATCTATTCTGTCGGAAGGAACTTGGGCGACCATAGAAATGCCCTAGAGAAATATTCTATTTATAGTCAATAAGAAAACTGGTGTTAGGAATTTATCATTAATGCACTATTTACATGAAGTTTGTTATGGGCTTAACTGTTTTGTAATTGAATTATGTTCTTTAGAGGAACTTACAAAAACATTAGTATGATTCCAGATCGTCCTTCCTTGTTAATATTTACATAGGCGTATACAATTTCCGTTTGTCATGACCGCACAGCTTCATTTTGCTGGTGTATGCCATAGTTATAACGTCTACGAAACGATATCAGTGAACTGTTATTTCTCAATGGTATTCAAATAGGCAAAGACACGTTTACACTTTCCTGTCTTCTCTACACAAAGTTGTTACAGGTTGAAAATACTTCTTAGTAATAAAAACAAGGTTCGGTATGACATCGAAGATACATGAGTTGGCTGAAGCATTCGACTACTTTACTCCCTATTATCAATCTAACAGATGGTGCAAATCAGTCTTGAAGCATCATTTTGCATTTAGAAGGAGACAAATGTAAAAATGTGTGTGAATCGCTACTCAAAGATATCAGAAGACTCTCCGTTTGTATTCTAAGTCGAGAAGCTAACCACCTAGTGGGATACCAACCACTCAAAGGTTAGATGAGATTCTAAGGTCTCAACTAATGTTGTCTGTTGCCCTATTTGAAATGAGGTTCGGGCATTGAAGCAGGTCAATGAGATACTCAGCTATGCTGTTCAAAAAAGATGTCTGACACTGCACGACTGGCGTAACAAGAAGTTTTACTCTTCATTCAACGTTTAAAGATCTTCGTTTTTGATTGGTCGTAAAAAACCAAAGGGATATACGATAAATCGACCAAACTTCAAACACCGCCCTTTATTAATATATGAGGCTTTTTAATAATCGCCGTTGTGATGGCAGCCCCTATTAATCCTGTCCCTTTTTTCACTCACATACTTACGAATCGATACCTCAGCTACGATTGGATCACATTTGATTTATTTTACTGACATTAATTCTCAGATTTCTTTCTGAAAGCGCTTTTAGTACCAGTTGTTTCTATGATTATGTTATACCTTGTGACCGCCGGTTAAAGAGCAGTGACTTATCGATCGGATCAAAAACGCATAAACACGTGTGAGCAGTGTAGAGTTCCGATTGGCCCTGCTTTCCACCTATCCCAGCCAGTTAAGTCCAGAACACCAGTCTCAGCCTCTGCAATATGAATCATCATATTTCAAAAATACCAGTCAAACAAACCACATCGTACCATAAAATAGAAAATAACATTGTACAATATTTGGCCAACAGGAAAATGACACGTGAAATAAATATTGACCAATAGGGAAATGATGTCATTTCAAGTCCAAGGATAGCATTAGACTCAACAGGATAATCTTTGGCATATTTTTCTGAATATCCCAACAAATAAATATTAGTTTCTCGTTAAACAGAGAATGTCTAACACATATGACGAAATGTAAACACCCTATTGAATAGTAATAAGCGTAACTAATCAATTCCAAGTTTTATTTGACTGATACTCATTTTGATCTAACAAGCATCTATTAGGTTTTTTTCCATTGAATCATCTATATTATATACATTGATTCCTCTTATACTTTTTCACAGTATATTTGGCCATTACCATTTCCTTATCCAAAGAATTATTCATGGACTCCAATTATAATGTCTATTCATCCTTCCATAAATATGAAATCTCGTCATATTGAATATGAAAAATCACTTAAAATGGACTGTCAAAATGCAGCATTAAAATTTAGTCATAAATTTATGAATTTATCAAATTTCTATTATAATCATATTAAAAATAAATCTTTAATTAAGATTAAAGGAATTGATGAAAATTACAATGGGATTTATAATAATTTACAAGAGAATAAATTGAACTATTCTATGGAATTATTAGATGTTAATTATCCAAATGAATTTTTACAAGAAATTCATCATCTATATAAATTAACATTATCATCAGTATCATCATCACTGTCATCATCAGCATCACTGTCATCATCAAATGGAATATCATCGAAATTTATTAGATCTACATTTACAAATGAACAAGTGATTTGTCAATGTGATATTTTAAAATCTACAATTATTAATCGTCTACTTGAAATTCAATCTTGTCTTGTCTATGGTGATCAACTTACTTTGATGATGATTGAACAAATAATGTTTGATTTATTCGAGATACAATTACCTAATCAAAGTGTAAGTAATAAATGAATGAATTAATTAATTAATTGTGATTAATCAAATATAATTAGAATTTGTTTGACTTTAAACGAGTATGATAAATGACTAAAGTGAATGAGTTATGTCATGTTTATTAAGCCATTGAAACTATTAATGAATTTAGTCACACATTAATGAATTGTTAGTTTATAAACTCAGTGTAGTTTATTTAACAATGTATGTAAGTATGTAAATTATTTCTATTCTATATTGGATTTAATTTGAGATTAGTTTTAACTATAAACTACAAAGTATCAAATTAGGATGAAACTAGTATTTAGTGTTTCCTGGGTTTTATTATATTGTAGATAAGTTACTTTAGAGTACATTTTATTTATTTATTTATTTGAATACATAAATATTGGTACAAGAGAGCGCCAATATATATGCGCCACACAAAACAATGAGAATTCGAAGAGAAGGAAAAAGAAAAAAGGTAAGGAGCGTAAAAAAAGAGAACAATAACGAAGAGATTAGTGTAAGGTAGTGTGGTAGTAATAGGGAACGCAAAGGTACAATCGGAAGAAATCTTTCAGGTAAGGGAGACACAACCACTTTTTATGAAGAAAGTAAAAGAAGGTTACAGCAGGATCGCCACTGGCTTCTATTCTGAGCCATATCTGATAACGTCTCTAGCCACTGTGTAGCACCATCTCTCAGACCCCAACCAGGGAGTCGTGAAGGACCAACACAAGCCAGTCCTTTGCAGCTTTCTTTCATGCCACGACACCATGTCATGCACTGACCACCTCTCCGCTTCTTCCAACCAGTCCCAGAGTCGGCAAATAATGCACGACGTGGAATTCTCTGGGACGACATTCGGAGAACATGTCCAAGCCACCGAAGTCGGTGTTTCAAGATGGTGACACCAATTGAATTATCATCTCTGTGCCCGAACACACGATGCCGAACCTCTGCATTACTGACATGGTGTTGCCACTGAATGTCAGCAATCCTTCGGAGACAGCGATGATCGAACACAGAGAGTCGTCTAACGTCCTCAACTCGGAGAGGCCAGGTTTCACAAGCATAGAGCAAAACTGCTCTCACCGACGCGTTGTAGATCCGACCTTTTACAGCCAGACTAACATCACGAAGGCGCCAAAGGTGGCCCAGATTGGCATAAGCCGCTCTGGCTTTCACTATTCGTGCATTGATCTCATCACTCACACCCCCACCAGCACTTATGCAGCTACCCAGATACACGAACTTCTCGACTACGTCTATCTGCTCACCATCCAGGGTGAGTACAGGATTAGAATCCTGCCAGTCTTGTAGAAGTACTTTGCACTTCGAAGGTGCAAAGCACATACCATACCTACGGACACTGATTGCCAACTGATTAAGTGCGGATTGCATGCCTTGGGCATTATCGCACAGTAAGACAATATCGTCCGCATACTCAAGGTCGAGAAGTCTTTCTCCAGGCAACAGATCCACACCACCATTACTTACATTCATCAGAGCTGTTTCCAGAATGTCATCGATGGCAAAGTTGAAGAGGAATGGTGAGATTGGGCAACCCTGCCTAACCCCACTGCTCGAATGGAACAATGGAGAGAGGTGGTTGTATGCCCTCACTCTGCCTGAGGTGTTTTTATACAGGGCTTTTAGGATGTTAATAAACTTCTCAGGCACACCCTTCTTCAATAGACAATCCCAGAGAACAGTCCTGTCCAACGAATCGAAGGCAGCCCTGATGTCAAGAAACACTACGATTGTTGGCCTTTGATAAGTATGGCGGTGTTCTAACATTTGGCGGAGGGTGAAGATATGATCAATACATCCTCGACCAGAACGAAACCCAGCCTGCTCCTCGCGAGTCAATCTTTCTCGGGTTTTGAACAACCTACGAAGTATGACGGAAGCCAATAGCTTGGACGCAATCGGAAGTAGACTTATCCCCCGATAGTTGTTACAGGAACGACGTGAACCCTTTTTAAAGATAGGGACAACTATCGACTCATTCCATGACGTTGGTACACTCTCTAGTTCCCAAACCTTTGTAAACAACGTCGTCAATTCCTTAGTCAAAAAGTCACCACCATCTTTAAAAAGAGCCGGAGGTAAGTCATCTGGGCCAGGTGATTTGTAACGCTTCAAGAGTTGGAGTTCCTTGCGGACTTCCTCCTCGTTTGGTGGATCAGTCGTCACCGGCCATGGAGGGCAGGACAGTCTGACCGATGTTGCCGGAGCAGCAGGCCAGTTGAACTGCCCTTCGAAAAATTCTGCCCATCGTCCAAGACGTCGATGGATGTTAGTGATTGGCATCCCATCATCCTCGCAGATTGTTTCACTCACACCAGACTTCTTGCTGCCAGTGGCTCGGATGAGCTGGAAGAGCTTCCGGTAGTTACCAGATGCAGCTGCTGCTTCCAGCTCATTAGCACGCATCGACCACCAGGCTTCTCGGTCCTTACGCAAGCTTTGCCCAATTTCCTTACGTAACATCCTTCGTTTATGGTCAAACTCACGGTCACCCGGAGTAGACCGACGGGCTTCAATGAGTTGTAAGGAACCAGAAGAAACCCAGTGCTTAAAAGCGGGACGTTTCGCAAACCCACAACTGACTGTTCCCGCCATTTTCATGGCGTCATGCAATTGCAACCAATGCTCATCTATACTTTTCGGTGGAGTGGTAGCTAGCCTAGAGGCTAGCTCGGTTCGATACTTACTTGCAACAGAAGTTGCAACCAGCTTGCTAACATCAATCCGTTGATGGCGTCACTTCGTTGTCCACTGAAAAGTAAGGCAAGATTGGCGCAGACCAAGGCATGGTCAGAGTCCAGATAGGTACTCCAAAAGGAGCGGCAGTCTTGTACACAACCACGCCAGCGGTAGCTGATCGCGATGTGATCAATCTGAGTCCAGGCTTGAGATGCAGAGGGAGGACGCCAGGTGGCACATCGGCGATGACTGTGCCGAAAGTTAGTGCTAGCCAGAAACAGGTTGTGGTCTGTGCAAAGTTGCAGTAGACGGTCCCCGTTATCTGACCTGCGACCAACGAGTCCCCATCGGCCACCTAAACGACTCTCTTCTGTGCCTAGACGCCCGACCTGAGCATTCAAGTCTCCGGCTAGTACTACAATATCTGTCGAACGCACTTTCTGGAGAAGAACAGATAACTGGTGGTAAAACTCATCCTTGATTGCATCCGGGCTGCAATCTGTCGGGGCATAGGCGGAGATGACGAAAAGACATCGTTTCTCACGCCGATTTCTTCTCACTTTGATGGAACTTTCTAATCTAACAGCACATAACCGACTGTTAATGGGGATCCAATCGACTAGTGCTGCCTCAGCTCTAGCGCTTAGTGCGACACCAACGCCAGCAAGACCAGACGAAGATGCCACAGGGTCCCCGGATAAGCGCACGTAAAACAAGCTTTTCGAAGCGACAGATGGAGATCGAATTTGTAGTACTTCGCCAGAGTCTTGAATACGGGTCTCGGATAGACAACAAACATCAATATTAAGACTTTCCAAAGACATAGCCAGCCCTATCTGTTGTCCGACCTGCATAAATGTGCGAACGTTGAAGGCAGCCAGTTTGAATGGTGCACGTGGTTTCAGAAAAACTGCTTCAGTCCTCGTATTCGGTGGTAACATACAATTTTCAACCGGACAGTGACTCGAGAACGTTTAGATACAGTCGAATTTCCACCAAAGACGAGCCGCTGTATAAGTATAAAAGAGGGTGAATAATGTGGAAAATAATAATAATATATGATAATAATAATAATAATAGTGATAATATAATAATAATAGTAATAATAATGACAATAATAGTAATGATAATAATTTGAATCAATTGGTTGTTTTTTGAAGCGAGAAAAGTAGTTTCCATAGATATAAGAGTTCATCGTTTGCGTGTGGGCTGTGATACTGCCCGGGTGCCCAAACCGAAGCAGGTGGTTATCTTAGGGGGCCACACCCCGAGCCTTTGACCTAAAGGTCTAACCCACAAGGCAGTGGAACATCGTAAGGAGATGCAGTCCCATGGTAGCCGGTGACCAAAGATTGGTTCATACGCCATTTGTTCCCGCAGGATACTGGAGCCCATGTGCACCATTGGTTTGTGATCCGGTTAAAGCGCCGGACATTCGCTTTTCGTCCTCTCATTTTCGTAAACAACACCCCAGCCACGAGAAGACAATGAGTAGGACTTCCCTGGCAGAGGCTGTATACGCGTGGCTGTGTGAGAGTATTTCGAGAGGGAGAGAGGATTCTTCCCACTCTCGGCCGTACCAGGGCATTCGGGGGCAATTTAGAGTACATATACTACATTATAGCATCTGCCAGAGAAATTTTACTCACTGACTTCTCACGGCATTACTGTTGTTTACAAAATTGAGAGGATGAAAAACCAATGTCCGGCACCTAAAACGGGTTGGTGGACACGAAGAGTCCACCTAGGAGAGTTGGAAAACCATGATTCTAAACCAATGGCGCACATGGGCTCCAGGATCTTGAAAGAACAAATGGAGTATGAACCAATTATTGGTCACCGGTTACCATGGGAGTGCATCTCGTGACGTTTCTCCACTGCCTTATGGATCAGACCTTCAGGTCGAACGCTCCGGGTATGGCTCCCTAAGAAAACCACTTTCTTCGGTTTGGGTACCAGGGCAGTATCACAGTCCTCACAAATATCAAATGAGATCTGTGTGGCGCATATGTATTTGGTGCCTCCTTGTACCAATATCTATGTGTTAAAATAAGTAAACATATATTACATTGCAATTATACCTTACTGGTACAAAGAACAGAGGTGGATACAACTGCACCAACCACCTCAGTAACTTTTATGGTTTACAGTATTGAAATGGCTTGTTCATAAATGGATGTGTGTTGTGCAGTTATCATTTAGAATCAATAGCTCGAATTAAATGTAAAATAAGAGACTTTATGAAAATATTTGCATCTGTAAGGAAACTAATGACTTCATAGATTTAAGCAGGTTTCGAGATTACCGTACTTTGAGAATTTGTTATTAGTAACACAGATGCCTTGTGGGGATTATTCATTAGGAACTAAATTCGGTACGCCATCTTAGGAGTTACAGTGAGAAGTAGTGACTAGTAGAGTATAATAATATCAGGTTTGAAGTAGTTAACAATCTCAAGCAATGAATAATAGTTGGGCAATATTGCAAACTGATTTAAGTTAAACATATGCACAACTGGATTCCTGCTCAGTAGTGTCGAGGTTAAGCACGAGATACCGAAGATCCTGAGTTCGATTCCCGGTGGCGAGGTCACTGAAGTACGTTATTAGTTATATAGTCAATGACAGAATGAAGGTCAATAGTAACGCACCAAGATCAGGGTCAACAAGTTAAAATCCCAGTCATTTGTAGAGAAATCCCAATTACTCACTTTTACCTGAAACTTATTCTGGTGATCCTATTTAAAAGAACTATAAAAGCTTCACGACCAAATCAACTAGGTTGGAGAACAGAACAACAAAGTAATCTAACAATACACCCGCCTAACTGATCAAAATAAGTGTTCAACCCATACTGTTTGACTTTTGATTTATATATCAATAAGAAAATCTATGATCAATTGTCAAACATGAGACTACAAAATCCTCAATGAATATTTAACTCTGCTAGTTGTAATCGATAAGAAAATATGATGCTTTCTATATAATCACTATTATCTTTCGATACTCGGACACGAGAATTAATTTAGGTGGTTATCGTATTAAGAATTATCCCCAGTGACACATTTCTCTGAATTCTTTTTACGCGATCTTTCTAAACATTCTCCTACTTTGATAAAATGCATTCATTCTACTTATTGGTTTTTATCAGTGTATTTTCAACTAATAATACATAGCGAAAATAGTTTTTCAATTTTCTGAATTTTCAAGTACGACTCACTTCCCGATTGATTTCTTGTATGATATAGATTGACCTATTTAGTTAAAACCTTGAACCATTTAACCCTGTTGTACAGACTATTACTAACCTATACAGAATGAATTGCCTGTGTGACTGATATGATGAACAATAGCTTGTTGTATGAGATAATGAATACCAATGACCGATGGATAAATTAGGTTCCAAATGATTGTTTATTAATATACAGTTAATTTATAAAACTGAATAATTCGATAATATTTGTAATTTCTTAGTTCATGAGTCAACCTGGACGCACTGGATGGCAGTTTCGTCCTGGTATGAGACTTCTCCGCAGTGACCAGTGAAGTCCAACCGGGTCTGTTGTGAGATAGTAACTCACTGAAGACAATGGTGGACGGTGGCTCAATTTCATGGATTAGTTGAAGTTAAACATTAACATCGTCGGATGCCGGTTCAGTGGCCTAGAGTTTAGGCGTTTGCGCGCGAGACTGATAGATCCTAGTTTTAAGTCTCGCGAGGCGGGGTCGTGGATACACACTGCTGAGGAGTTCCATACGAGGCTGAAATGGCCGTCGAGTGCTTCCAGGTTTTTCATGGTGGTCTAGCTTCAAATGACTCATGAATTCAACCATTAACTTACTAAAATTTTCATAAAACCTCTTCTGATAATATTTGTAATTAACATACAGAATAATCAGAGTAAAACAATTTATCTTTTACTGGTTAAAAGGATGGTAGAAAAGTATCGTATTTTCCCTAAAATTTCAAAGGGTTATATATTATAATTTTCATTTAATAGACGTATGTAAATGTATAAGTCAAATAGTTAATACTTGTTTGCTAATGTTATACTGACGTGGTTTTTGTTATCTCGTGTCAAATATCACATGAAAAATTGCCAATCAAAGCATTGACTTATATTATATTGTCCCTGTGCTAAAACAAGAATGCGTTAACTAGCATGAGCTGCTTAGAACCAACTCTGATTTCTTATTGGTCATCTGTATAGTAATTTCTCGCCTATTTCAACCCGTTCAGTCCATGACTCAAATATCAGTCTCCGCTGTTTGAATCGTATATTTCAGATATATTTGGTTTATATACAAGCAAACCAAACCGCATCACACCATAAAATCAAAAATAATAATTATACAAAATTAAGCCAAAAGTGGTTTTAAGTGTAGGATACTGTAACTGATAAAATGGGAATGAGTTAAGAATGATAATTCATATCACAGTAGCCAATAATTCAAATGAAAGCTTATGATAAAGGAAATATGAATATACACATAATCTAGTTACTTAATAATTATCCAATAAGAATATGTGTAGTAATATTCCATAAATAATTCCTAGCAGTTACTATTCATTTATTCTTCGTTCGGATGTAACCGATTTGCTAGATTAAGGATGAAATATTCACCAGATTGTAGTCAATGGGATAATTATTGAGATTGGATATTTGCAGAATTCTTGTGAGGAGCCGTAACTATCGGAGTTCAACCATTTTGGGGCGTCAGATAAATATCACCAATGAACATAAATGATAACTACATAATATCATAATTTGACTGAACTTACTGGTGTAAACTATTTGGGTGCTAACTTAATGGTCTAGAGGTTATTTAAAGCTCTCTGAGATATTTAGTTAGTTTGGATTTCATTCCTTATTTATTCTTTATTATAACCTTGGATATAGATGTAAACTGTTGAGTGGCCACAAGCTACGAGTAAATAACTATTGATCGCTTCCTGATTTTCAAGTGTTCCCTAGTTGATATCAGTTTGTGTTGAGGTTTATTTAATCTTAAATAAAGTGATTTTTGGCATCCATCAAAGATTGGCCATAGTTGGTGTACGGTTTACCATTGAAAATCAAGGAGTCACAAAAAGCTATTTCGGAGAGTTCTTATATATTTACACTGATACAATCGTCCCTGAAGACACTGGTTGATAATCGTGCTTCATCATGAATCGATCGAAATTCCAGATGTTTATCAGTCAGCACAAAACCAATGATTTAATGATTAAGCACTCATCACAGAGCTCGAAGATCATGGATGCGATCTCTAGTTGGGTCGTCGGTGCACATTCCGAAAGGTTTTCTCAATAGGACAAACCCCTCCTTAACTTTTAATAATATCCTAAATGGCATCAGTACGTAAAGATTATTGTATTTTTCTCAGTTTTATAGAATATATACATTGGTTAAGTATAAAATTCATCACAATAGGATAATTGATATAATTATCATATATATTTTCTATTGAACCTTATAGATTCTAGAAGGGGATTCAAAATCTCATAAATTATGGATGAATATTTATTCTGATTGTATGAAATATTTACGGAATGGTTTTACAAAATCTTTATGCGCTTTACTTACAAGTGATTCAAAATCAAATGCATTTAATAATTTACAATTTGTCAATGAATTCGACATTCCAGGCAGCCCAAGTTTCAGTAAACGTTGGCAAAAGAAACTACAAATAGACAAGTTAGAACAAAATACATCAGAATCAGAGAAACAATTTCCATTCTTTATACACTTGATTGTAAGTTTGTTAGATAGAGTTTTATGTTTTACATTTCCAATTAACTGTTATAACTTGTGACCGCCGATTAGAGGGCAGTGAATTATCAATCGGACCAAGGACGCGTAAACACATGCGAGCAGCCTAGAGTCTTGATTGATCCTGCTTTCCACCTAGCCCAGCCAGTTAAGTCCAGAACACCAATTTCAGCCTCTGCGATATGAATCACTATATTTCAAATATACTGAGTTTACATACTAATCAAACAGACCAAAAAGTAGCATAAAATATGAAACAACATTTGTACAAGAATTAGCCAGATGTGGCTGTGAATGGAGGAGGCAGTGACTGATAGACAGGGCATAATTCAAGAATGGTAAAACGTATAATAATGGTTCATAGATCAAAATAAAGTTTATAATAAGAGGAATATGAATATGAATAGTTTAGTTATTTAACAATTCTTCGATAAAAATATACGTTTAGTATTGGTCCATAAAAGGATCCCAAAATTTACCACTATTCTTGTCGGGACATGACATTAACAAATGAAATTTACACTATTATTATTATTAATGGCTTTATTCAATATTATATTTTAAGTACAATATAGAATTCTCAGCACAAAGTATTTCAGCAAATTTACGTTTCTTATTTCTTGATCGATCGTGACAATAAATATTTGAGTGATCGCTAGTTAGATATTACCAATTAGGGAATCGATATCTAAATAATGTGTATTCTCTTCAATACATTGTTATGGATAATGTCCTCAATATCTGACTCCAAATAATAATATCCCGTAACTGAGTATTTTAGCTAGGCTTAATCTCCTAGTAGAATTGCGAATTTACTCGAGATTATTAAAAAGCCTGAACACCAGTTATAGAGATAGTTTATTGTTAATGAATAATAATAATCCACAAGCGCACGATGAGCAAGCACACGATGAAACAGAGAGAGAGTGTGTGAGTGAGTTAAAAATCCATATATATTTGAGAGTTAATCGGGTGTGGATAAATTATCGATTATCTGCACATTGCAACCAATAGGAGAATAGCTTAAGAGTTAATGTACAGACATGCATTCGATCATACACACCGAAATTAACATAGTGAATTGAGTCTGAGTTACAATGACTAGACAAATGATACAGTAGCCAAAAGGGCTTGCTACATAAGCTCCCATCCAGAACATTGATGTTTTTATGTACCAAAAAAAAAAAAATTCGATTAACATCTATGTTCGACAAAGAGATAAAGAACGGAACTGTTTTTAAAATAAAAGTACAACTCAATATGATGAGTAAGCGTAAAATTGTAATAACAGCTTGTGTGTTGAAACGTTTCATATCATGTATATACAAGTGTAAATTTAACATTAATGAATTGTATAAAGTTAAAATGTAAGCATAATGGTGATCCGTGGGGCCAATAAAAAAAATAGTAATCAATATAAAGTAGGATTTTTATGTGTTATAAGAGTAGTCTCAGGATTTGGTCTAGATAAATATAGTGGTTGCTACATACCTATCTGGCCAATGTACTCTTCTTCCTGATCTTGTTGTAGTTTGTGCTGCTGCTGAATTTTGATTTGAAATGTTGCTTGTTGCAGGTAGTTTGAATGGTGCTTGCTCTGCTGCGGGTTTAGACGGTTTTACAGTTGCCTGTTTTTCAGTGTTCTCTAAAAATGCTGGTTTTACTCTATCGATGCTAACTGTATCATGTTTACCTGCTCTTTCCACTGTAACCGTTTTAGTGTCCTTTCGGATGATTTTAAAAGGGCCGTCGTAAGGAGTCTGTAACGGCTGTCGTACTCTATCATTTCTGACGAATACATGTGAGCATTTGTCTAGTTCGTTGGGTACGAATGATTTCACCTTTTGGGTTCGTGGTTTAACGGACCTAATGGATTCCATCTGCTGTTTTAATTGTTGTACGTAGTTGGTTATATCTGCTGGAATATCTGTTGCACGGTCAAAAAATTCACCAGGCAAACGTAATGTTGTTCCATAAACCAACTCAGCAGCACAACAACCGAGGTCTTGTTTGATGGTTGAGCGAATACCTAATAGTATCAAAGGGAGCTTGATATCCCATTTGTAATCTCCTCGTGCGGCCGTCAAAGAGGCTTTTAACTGTCTATGGAATCTCTCTATCATTCCATTAGCAGACGGATGATAAGCAGTGGTTCTAATTCTCTTTATACCGAAAGTATCTGTAAGTTGCTGAAATAGTTTGCTTTCGAATTGCGTTCCACGGTCGGTCGTAATTGTTGTAGGGACACCGAAGTTTGTAATCCAGTGTTTCACCAGCTTCTTCGCCACTGTTGATGCTGACGTGTCTTTTAACGGAACAGCTATGGGCCATCTCGTAAATCTATCTATACATGTTAGTATATGCGTGTAACCATTAGAAATCGGTAACGGCCCAACAATGTCGATATGAATATGGTCGAACCTAGCGCTAGCGGCGGGAAAAATTCCGGTAGGAGATATGATGTGCCTATGTACTTTTGACTTTTGGCATTGGACGCATTCCCGTGACCATTTTCTTACGTCTTTGTTTATTTTTGGCCATACAAATCTATCTGTGACAAGCTTTACAGTGGCTTTTATACCTGGATGAGATATATTGTGTAATTTCTCAAAAATATTTCGTCTCATACCGAAGGGTACAAAAGGGCGAGTTTTACCTGTTGAGGTATCACAAGCTAAGGTGTCCTTGTTGTTAATGGGGATGTTTTGGAATAATAATTTCGTTTCCTTAGACTGCAAAAGCTTTTGTAGCTCCGTATCGAGCTTTTGATGCTTTGCCATTTCTTGATAGTCTATATCAGGGGTCGAGAAGGTATTGATATTTAATCTCGATAGTGCATCTGCTGCCTCATTTGCATTGCCTTTAATATAGCGTATATCAGCTGCAAATTGTGAAATGAATTCTAGTTGACGAATTTCGCGCGGACTGTATTTATCATGATTGTGCATCAAGGACTTAGTTAGAGGTTTGTGATCAGTATATATCGTGAAAGAATTGCCTTCTAACATATAGCGAAAGTGTTTGATGGCTAAGTAGATAGCTAACAGTTCTCTACCGAATGTGCTATATTTTGTTTGCGTTGCGTTGAGCTTTTTTGAGAAAAATGCAAGGGGTTGCCATTGTTCATTGACACGTTGCTGAAGTACAGCACCTACTGCTACGTTAGAAGCGTCGGTCATTATTGCTAAAGGTGCATCAACCTTTCGTCGTGCGAGTAATGCCTCTGTGCTTAAAGCGCTTTTCAACTGATCAAATGCTTGAATTGCTTGCGGTGTCATTGCTAATGATTTAGCTCGTCCCCTTAATAAATCAGTTAGTGGTTTTGCTAAGTCTGCACATTTAGGGATAAAACGTCTGTAAAAGTTGATCATCCCAAGGAAACGTCGTAGTTTCTTGAATGAATCAGGCAAAGGATAATTTTTGATAGCTTGTGTTTCCTCAGGAACTGGTTTAATGCCTTGCTTATCAAGTACGTGACCTAAAAAGGTGAGGGATTGTTTTCCGAACTCACATTTGTCAGGATTGACCGCTAACCCATACTCGTTTAGCTTCTCAAAAAGCATTTTCAAATGCGTTAGATGTTCATTTTCATCTTTGCTTGCTATAAGTAGGTCATCTATGTAAGCATACACAAACGGTAAGCCCCGTACCACTTGGTCGATAAAACGCTGGAAACTTTGTGCAGCATTCCTTAATCCGAAAGGCATGCGGACGAATTCGTATAGTCCAAAGGGGGTAGTAATGGCTGTTTTAGGAACATCGTCCGGATGAATTGGAATGTGATGGTAAGCACGGACGAGATCAACTTTTGAAAAGATCGACACGTCAGATAGGCTATGAGTGAAGTCATGCAGATGTGGGAGAGGATATCTATCTGGTACGGTCCGGCTGTTGAGAGCTCTATAGTCACCGCACGGTCTAACTTCGGAAGAGTTTTTCTTAGGTACCATATGAAGCGGTGATGCCCACGGACTATCGGAGGGGCGTATGATGCCCAACTCAATCATTTTGTTGAATTCGTTCTTTGCGATAGCCAGACGAGAGGGATCAAGGCGTCTTGGACGTGCGAACACTGGTGGACCCTCTGTCTTTATGTGGTGTACGACGGTATGCGTCGGTTTGTCGTGTTTGAAACTCGGTCGTAATAAATCTGGAAACTGATTAAGTAAATTGACGTATTTGTCGTTCTCTTGATGAGGTTTAACTAATAAATGTATGGAAGTCTCATTTGATATAATTCCTCTAATTTCTTTACTTTGTTCGGCAAGGACAAGTTTCCTATTTCTGACGTCTACCAGTATTTTGTGGAATTGCAGAAAATCAATGCCGATTATAGGAACGAGGACGTCCGCTATGATGAAACTCCAGGAAAAATTAGATTTAGGACCGAAATTTAATTGCAACCGCCTTTTGCCGTACGTCTTGATGTCAGACCTGTTTGCAGCTTGTAATTTTAGTTTGGGGTCAGGTGTGTTTTTCTCGAGTGCAGTAGGTGGTACTACACTAACCTCTGCCCCAGTGTCGACTAAAAACTGTGTGCCGGTTCTTTTGTCTGTAACATATAATAGACGACTGTCTTGAAGTTTGTGGTCAGTGAGTGCAGTCGTCATTAACCTGCGGTCTTGACGTCCCTTTTTCTGTGTGCTTGCAAAGTTACAAGGCGGAATACATTTTCTAGCTTGTTTGCCATATGTTCTATGGTACCAGCAAATGTTGTGTCTAGTAGTGCTTGGACTACGTCGTCTACGGCTTGTGGATGTTCTTCTACGCTTGCTGTGGGAGGCATTCAATAATTGGATGTGAGCTATCTGTTTCGTAAGGATATCAACTGATCGTCGTAACTCGGCGATCTCGTCAGCTGAACTTGATTGGATTTGAGATACAAGGTGAGTCTTGGACCGTTCGTAAATTCTGTCGGCTATGTCTGCTAGCCTATCAAAATCAACGTCTTCGTCTCCCATTGCTAGTATCTGTTGAATGTTTTGAGGAAGACGTCTGAGCCACAATTGATATAGTAGACGTTTGTCTACTGTACGACTTCCTAATAAGTTTGTCATGTGGCGTTTTAACTGTGACGGTGTATTGTCACCTAGCTCGACGTTGGCTAAAAGTTGATCGATTGTCTGTTGGTCAGTGAGAGATGTGACACGAATGACCTCTCTTTTTAGACAATCGAATGGTGAGTCAGGATCCGGCTTAAAAATGACATCCGGCACTTGTTCAATGACGTCATCTGGCAGCAGTGAATTTGCATAACTAAATTTCGTACTCTGGTTTGTGATTTTGTTTGCTACAAAAAAGCTTTCTAAACGAGCGAACCAGAGTTCAGCCTTTCGTGAATTAAAAGTAGGTAAAGGTACAGAGATGGCACCCACGGAAATAGATTTAGATGAAAGGCTTAGCGAATTATCAAGTGCCATGATACGAAGAAGCAATAGTAATAATAAGCCGAGGATTGTAATATACAATATGAAGAGAAATCAAAAATAACAACAAGAAATATATATAAGACTCACCGAAAAGAAAAACTGTCACTTTTGGTTTAAATATGCGAATATACAGCAATAATTCCAAAGGAACAATGCTATGGATGGATTTATTATGACTGTTAATGAATTGTTAATAATTGTAATAGTAATTCCAATGTGAAGTTCTTTAAGATACGCTTGGAGAGTATGCAGCAGAATTCGTAGAGGAATGGTGTGTGTTCTAAAAGCGGTTCACCAATATGTTATGGATAATGTCCTCAATATCTGACTCCAAATAATAATATCCCGTAACTGAGTATTTTAGCTAGGCTTAATCTCCTAGTAGAATTGCGAATTTACTCGAGATTATTAAAAAGCCTGAACACCAGTTATAGAGATAGTTTATTGTTAATGAATAATAATAATCCACAAGCGCACGATGAGCAAGCACACGATGAAACAGAGAGAGAGTGTGTGAGTGAGTTAAAAATCCATATATATTTGAGAGTTAATCGGGTGTGGATAAATTATCGATTATCTGCACATTGCAACCAATAGGAGAATAGCTTAAGAGTTAATGTACAGACATGCATTCGATCATACACACCGAAATTAACATAGTGAATTGAGTCTGAGTTACAATGACTAGACAAATGATACAGTAGCCAAAAGGGCTTGCTACAACATATTATCAGCCACCACGATTTCTGTGATTGGGCTCTTTTATAACTTGTACAGCGAAATGTCGTAAACGTTTCACAATCTCATCTGTATAGGTTATACAAATTATTGACATAATGATCTGTTAAAATAAACAAAAAATCAGATAACTTGAAAATTGTAGGTGGCAGGAACAGGCAGTCCAGATATTCAAGCAGGCCGCCTCACATATTGTGATGGTTCATTCTTCCTGACAATATCTCTAAGATGTGTTAAACATTGTAGTTAGTCTATTTTCCTGATCAGATATATAAATGTATATACTACATATATATGTCACTGGAAACAGAAGAGTAGGTAGTGTCATATCGTCTAGTCCTTAATGCAGATTGAATTCAGTTTATCAGGTTTTAATGTATCCAGGTGCTTTACATAGGTTTGACTTCCACGGAGAATCTCGGTTTCATAAAGATAAGATATACGTCTTGTTGATGAGTATCAACTTGGGGCGAAGGCAGAAATTAGAGCTTTCTTTTGGTAACCTATCACTTGATATATCCATCTATCTAAAGAAGGTTAACTATTCATCGATAACCGAGTAAGTTCGCCAATCAATGTTCATCAACCAATTAATATATGCATTTAATCTACTTTTATCATATTCAGACCATGAAAATCTGAGTAATAACTGTACTAAGATACTATGCTTAAAAAAGTAGTCATGCATCCTTTTGGTGAAGTAATTTATCGATTATATATTAATAGCAGTGTACAGTTCAAGTTTTAAACTTTTCTAAATGTCACTCAACTACTTTGTGTAAACTTTGTATTTATTGACAATTCAGAGTGACATGTGTGTATACTTGTTTACAATTCCACAATGTTTATACTACTCTTTTATTCTCCATTTAGATTTTATACAATTTATATGATACATGGCAGAGTATTGTCAAGATTGCCGGAACAATTATAACTTCTAAAGAATCCACTGTATATAATCCTGTACTTCTACAATGGATATTAACTACGCGTCCTAAATTTGCTGAAGCTATCCTAAATTATCCAACAATTCAACTATCACATAATTATCAATGTAGTCACTGTTTATGTAAATCAATACTTGATACCTTCTTATCTATCGATGAAGTCCAATTGAATAATTTATTTAGAGAGTTTTCAAGTCAATACGGTTGTATTGATTATTTACTTTTAGAGTCTGTGCATAATCTAAATGATCGGATCACATTGTGTATACAGAAAATTGATGCCTATCATTTACAGTTGAGAAATGTGAGTAGTTTCATTTTTAGACCTTTTTTTAATTAAAAAAAATAGTTCTTTTATCTCATGAAGTTTATTTCTTATTTAACAGACACTAAAAACTTAATTTCAACACACCAGTGTATATTTAGGTTGATATCACTCAGGTTTTTAAATCACATAGTTATTTAATTAAGCAATAAAAAGCAGTCTGTTGAGAAAAAGGGAGATTCTTTATTTCTTTCAATCACCTTTTTCCAAACAATGACCAAATTACCAGTTTAACGGTTGTGGAGATTGTTAAGTGGTCCAGTAGGTCAAGCGTTCGCGCGCGAGACTGAAGGCCCTGGGTTCGAACCCCACGAGCGGGATCATGGATGCGCACTGCTGAGGAGTCCCACAATAGGACGAAACGGCCATCCAGTGCTTCCAGGTTTTCAATGGTGGTCTAACATCAATCGGTTCATGATCTCAATCAATAACCAAATTACTCTTTCCATTGACTTTTTACTTTGTTGAATAGTCAATGTAATTTTAACATAGAATTTTCAAGGTGTAAATATCTTCCAAACTCATCGTTTTAAACTGTATGATCTTTTCTACAGGCCATTTAATGATATTTTCATTATTTGAAGTATACTATCCCCTAAAACGAATCATAACCTAATATTTTCGTATTACATTATGAAGAATATGTTTAGCATATAGAGATGCTATTGCTAACTAAATTACATTAGATTAAGTACACTAGATGTTCATTATTTGATAAATAACTCCATGTTTTCTATGTTCTAACATCTAACAATATTTGTCTTTCAGACATATTAACTAACGTTTGACGAATCCTGAATTGACTGAATCTGAATGCTGCCCCAATGTTCTAGAGGTTAGGCATTCACGCATGAGACTGAAGGTTTTGGGTCCGATCTCTGGGTGCGGGGTCTTGATTACACACTCCTGAGGAGTCCAGTGGTTCTAGGTTTCCGGTGATTGTCTAATTAAGATCAATTTAGGCGTCAAGCTTTGAGCATCCTGATAGGCCTAAGATGTATCTATCCACGATTTTCCACCGTTTACTTTCAATTATTCAGTACCAAATAAAATTCAGGTTAATTAGATTAGACGACTTTATTACAAAAAAAGATTGATTTTCCAAAGGGTAGAGTTGCATATATTTGCATGAGTATTTGTGCATTTTATTCGGTAGCCCAATATAATTTCTTGTCCACTCTTGTATCCTCGCTCAAGTAGTCAGGTGATAGATTAATGTATAGCATATCGTGTATCAGTATCAGATTTCGGATATCGTCCATCATAGCAGGTTTACAGAACTAAATAAGCATTTCGGACTGAATAATTTATAACATTAGTCAATCGCTCAGTAAAAATATATGATGTAGAATCTGGCATACCTGTGTATCGTTTCAATTTGCCACACCAAATTAGCGTAGTAAAATGAAATCGCTTAACAAAATCTCAAAGTAGTATGAAGTAGAAATAGTATCAGTAATAGTTTTAAAAAAGTCTATGTATAGAAAGAGAAAAAACGTTTAAGAAGACTTCAGGTCGTAGGATTTAAAGGAAGAGAAAGGGTAACATTAATTACAATTTAGTGGCTATTGGTTTGCATACATTCATTAGTAAATTACAAGGTTGCTTTCGTTTCGGTGAGGCATGGATTAAAATTCAGGAACTCATTAAGTTCTGTGAATGCAATGAGGTCCCCATACGATTTTATAATATTAAAGATTCACATTGTGTAAATTAAAACAACAAATATAAGCGGACAATATTGTTTTCAATTAGATCATCATCAGGTTTTACGTTAATATATATGAATATTCATATGCCACTTTTTTAAACCAATCAAGGAAATTTATGAGTTAATGATCACAATGAAATAGATTGTAGGACTACTCATAATAGGTAAAAAGTACTAAGTACAAATGAACATGGGATGCAAAAAAAATTAATAAAATCGTTTACTACAACATATCCGATCAAGGCATGAACAAGATATCACGATTCTCTTCTAGATACATAAACTAGGGTTATAGGTTGGGTTTATAATCGTCTTTATTCTATTTGATAGTGTTGTTTTCTATTTGATTGTTATTTATTTTGACTGGTACATGATACAAAATGAATTCATTCACCTTAAAACACATAGCACTATTTTTGTAATGGTAATAATTATGATCATTATTATTCAGACCATGTTCACTGATTTCTTGGCAAATCATCTCCTAGAACTGCATGAAATAGTTTACATGTTATCATGTATTCATAACTCATTTTCACTACTCGTTCATTTGATGCATATAAGGATAGTTGATACACTTGTAATCTGATAAAGATTAGTTATTGGTAGATTGTAAGGTGGAAGTTTTCGGAAGGAAACCCTGCTTGACCTAGGTATTGCGCTATTTGGCTCCCATCAGCAAAATATATCTGTAGTCGTGGGGAAACTGATAATCTTCAGAGAATTCGACACCTTGTCATCTAGCTTTATAGCCAGGGACTTCACTACTATTCGGGTGGCGACTGGCCTCTTGTAACACTAAGATGTATTCGCAATTGATTGATCACTGAGTAGTGACCAATTTTGTGTATATTAAGTCGTTTTTAGTTCTTATCGGATTCTATCGATCAAGTTTAGATGGAAATATCTTACATATGTAACTTTTTCGTTTATTTGTCTTTCATACAATTAGATCGCAAAATTGAAGCTTCCTAATGATCAAGATACAGGACTCACCAATAATCTATTGAAAAATTTTGATCATGTGAATTTGGCTGATTCAAATACTTTAACTTTACGTCACGCTTTATCTCATTGGAGTGGAGTTCTCACTAAGAAACTTGCCAATGGTCATAATTTTAAACGACGTTTAACTTATTGCTCAGAGAACCTACACTCTTTACTGCTCAATCTAAAATCTGCTAAAACAATGGAAACAAATGATTATGTAGAGATTGAGGTAACTAAAACAATTAAACTTTTTGGAGGAATTCAGTTTACTATTTCATTGTGATGATTGTTTAAATGAGCGAAATTTGAATGTATCGAACACACTAAAATGTCTGACCAGTGTTATCGCTGTGCAAAGTTTCATTCAATGGTGATTAAGTTGAAACTATTATCCAGGATTCTGTGGAAAACGGAATGATACTGACAAGTACCTTGAGTATTCATAATCTTCACTGCTAGTCATATTATGTTTGTTTTGTAACGTTTGAGTATTTTACTCTTGTGATACTGTATTTCTATCTAGTTTCTAGATATTTTTATTCCCTCTGACTATATGTAAGTTAAAACAATGAGATAAATCACGAGTTTATTTTAACTAGAAAACCAATGAAAACCTGCAGACATTGGACGTCCGTTTCTTCTTAGTATGGAGCTTATGATAAGCGCTCATCCACGGCTCTGCCACAGGGAATCAAAGTGAACCATGTAAACCATCGGGTGCCAACTCAGTGTTTTAGAGATTAAGCGTTCTCGTTCGAGGCTGAAGGTTCTGTGTTTGATTTTCTGTGCTGGATTCATGGATGCTAAAGAATCGTATACTGGTTATTACTGCTGGTCTAGCTGAAATCACTTTATGATCCCAACTTTGAAATTTCTACAAAACTCTATAGTGATAATAATCAGATAAAGCCATTTGTCAACAACTGAGGTTGATTGGATATGTCACATAATCCCAACCAACGCTTTTCTGGATGAGCCATGTTGGATACAATCAGAATAGGTTAAAAGAAAACTAGAAGAGGAAACCGTAGTGTGCCATCAGTTCATGAAATCACCGACTGTTGATCATCTGAGTCATTTTGGCAGGTTCAGACTAATTTTGTCAGGGTCTCCAAAATAACAGCGATTAGTAGTTGCAGACGCTGAGTAGCATAGCTCAGAATCTGTCACAATGGCAGAGATGCATCAATTCTTCATATCTCTATATAAATCTTGAGTTCTACTATTCCTTTATGTACAATCTTTCATTCCCTCTTGAACCATCTCAATGTTTAATTCTTTACTTTGTATGACTAATACAGCAATGATTTTGGTTTATTTGCTTTTCATTATGTTAGTCTAATCTCTTGTATTGATCTGTTATGACAATCTGTTCTGGAACACATTTGAGTCACACTCTTTACTGATTATGATTGACTGACTTTTAACAATACAATTAATTCATTTATTACTTTAAACTGTTCATCACCCAAGATTTAGACCAACAATTCATTCAAAAGCATAGGATTTTTTAAATATCACTATAAGACAATACGACTGATAATATAAGATTGTGGTCGGAGATAGTTAACAGGAAACTCTAAACCTAGGTTTCGTGCTACTTGGCGCTCGTCAGCAAGGTGTACCTTTAATCTTGAGGTGACTGATATTCTCTAACGGATTCGATCCTGTGTCACCCAAATTTGCAGTCAGAGACGTTACCACTAAGCTGTCCGAGCCGCGACTGACATCCTGTAAAATCAAATCCTATTAGTCACGTTGCAATGTGGTCACCAGTCTAGGTGACTCGACATTGAGTGCACTATATTGAGATAAGATGATGACAAGGTTTCCTGTTGACTAAATCTAACCACCATCTAATCTCAACATAGTGCACTGAATGTTGAGTCACTTAGACTGGTGGCCACATTGCAACTTGGTCGATAGGATTCGATCTGCACTAAGAGGTACATGACACTGATCACCACCACCCAGTGATCAATCAATTGTACATACGATTGATGATGAAAAAAGAAAGTCATTGATCATTCATTTAGTTACATCATAGAATAAACGTAGATCTGATAGTTGATAACATAATTCTCGTTTTCTTTGACGGCGATTAGAGAGCAGTGAATTATCAATCGGACCAAGGACGCGTAAACACATGCGAGCAGCCTAGAGTCTTGATTGATCCTGCTTTCCACCTAGCCCAGCCAGTTAAGTCCAGAACACCAATTTCAGCCTCTGCGATATGAATCACTATATTTCAAATATACTGAGTTTACATACTAATCAAACAGACAAAAAGTAGCATAAAATATGAAACAACATTTGTACAAGAATTAGCCAGATGGCTGTGAATGGAGGAGGCAGTGACTGATAGACAGGGCAT